GGTTAATTAAAAAACAATTTAAGCTATTGAAAGCTTGTAGTAGTTACCCCCCCCCCCCATATGCAATTTGTGGATCCCACCTGGGGTTTGGGGAGAAACCTTGTAATTGCCGACCGCAAGATCGAAAGGGTTAAAATGTTATGCGGAGGCATTTGCTTATAATTGGTAATGGGTTTAGTGTGGTTACGGTCAGGGTCAGGATGTGGACTTCATCTGAATGCACGCACACACACACACGCACACACAAGCATTTCTCTAACATACCCCCCAACCAATCTGATAGGAGAAAAGTGCTTTAGGCATTATGGGTTAAGGCCTCATCTAACACCCATGGGAAATCACAGCAAAACAATGTAGGGAGATGCACCGTGACTGATGATATTGGTGTGAAATAGCACACACAGAGCGACAGAGAGAAAGGGGGCAGAGAGAGAGAAAGTAATAGAAAAGGAGGTGAAGACACAGATAGAGATAGAGGTTTAGTTAAATAGAGTGAAAAATTGACTTTAGAGAGAATAAAGCTAATATTGTCCCCTCGCTGATTCTCTGCCTTTTAGTTTGATGATCTCTGTGGCCGTCCATTGGACAGACTGAGGAATGTCTGACTTCTGTTGTCTGTCGGCATGTCAGTCAGAATGTTGTATATACTGTCTGTCTGTTTCACTAAATGACTGTTGGAGCTTGGGTTGTAGGTAAAAAGCTGTTAGATTGTCTTTGTGTTATAAATTGTGGGCATTTTGTGTCCGGGGAGCAGATGCTGAAGCTACTCATGGGGAAAATCCAGCACTTTCTCCCTCCTGGCATACATCCATCCACCCATGCATCCTTCCATCCATTCATCCATCCAGCCTTGGAGACAGAAAAGAAAATGCTCTTCCTTTATAACTGACTTGAACATTGTTGCTTAAGTAATACAATTATTACTTCAGACTAGACTGGAATATTTTTAACACACACACACACACACAAACACACACATAATTCGAGCACCATATAGCTTAATTGTTTATTTCCCAGTGCCCCTTTTCTTATATAGCCGGTTTATAGCTTTATTTATTTTTTGCCTTAAACAACTTTGCCCCATTTTGTCTATGTTTTTATTTTAACTGTTAAATTAGTCTCACATTTAGCTTCAGGTAGCTTCACAAGGGCCTCAACTCGTCCTGTGCTGAAGATAGCTTCAGAGGAGAAACCCTTCTTTTCCATCTCTCCATCTCTAGGGAGTAGAAGACAAAGGAAAATATAGATGTGGGAAATTGAGGGGAAATTAGGAGAGAGAGAGAGGGATGGAGAAAGAGAAGGGTGGAAGCAGAAGGAGAGGGAGAGACAGAGGAGGAGGGAGAGGCAGAGGAAAAGCAGACGTGGTTCAGTGAAGCGTCACTAGCCCACAGCCAGAGACAAAGACCTGAGAGCATGAGTGCATGATCCTCAACTAGCACACTCGAAATTACACTGTGTGTGTGTCTATGAGAGAGAGAGAGAAGAGGATAAAGAGAGAGAGAAAGAAAGGTGAGAGACATGACAAAATTAAAGGAAATATATGAAGAAAAGATGTGGTGAGAGAAAAATCAAAAATTACAAAACAAACACACACACACACACACTCAGAGTTCGAAGTATTGACACAAATCTAGTTTACATTTTTTATTTGAGGCTACAAGCCAAACAGCCCATTTATCACCAGGTAGATTATTATCTCAATATTATTTTGGCTCTATGGCTTCATCATCCTGGTGGGTTTGATTCTGCAACGCTAAAGAAACCCCCTCATTTAAAATCAATGCATCAACGCCTCTACACAGCAGCAATTTAATTAATGTTTGCTTTTTTTTATCATTCCACTGGTGAGTATGGAGTAATTTCATTTTGGCCCCCATATCCTACAACTCCCCATATTTGGATTATTAGTTTTTACGAAAACAACTTCCTCCAAACACTTGTGCTTTTCAGAAAAATAGGTTTAATTTCCAATGTGTGTGTTTTTTTCTTTTATATCACATTTTCTCTATCTGTGCTGGTGGAGGCTTATTGTGCTGCCGCTGGATGAATAGAAAGGAGATAAGCGTTTTCTTCAAATTAGCACCAGTCTTGTTCTGAGCTATATAACAGACCCTGTAATCTCAGCGAACTCTTCACAGACAGTGGAATGGAAAAGAAAAAACTTCTGTCTTGCTTTTCTATGTCTCATCTGTGGGTAGATGGGGTGTTTTTTTATTGATGTTGATTTCTTTGACCACGAAGACAGCTTGACATCACATTGACGATGTTTCAGTGCAGGTACAATAAAGTTCAGGGGTGACAAGAAGCTTGGATTAGCATCCGGAACGGAAAACTGTCCAAAACTATGCCTGTGTGTTCCAGAGGCTCATTAGTAAAGTACTGATACACACTGCACCCAAATAATTATTACCCCTCTCCCGCCATCACATGGCGAGAGCAGCGACAGACTGCGGAGAAACAAGAGCGGTAAAGAAAAGAGGTGAAGGAAAGAAAAATAATAAAAAGAGAGCGAGAGTGTAAAAGAGGGAGGGGGATTTGGAGCGAGTCAGTAACGGTACGAGGCAGACGGCGGGAGAGAGATGGCAGAGAGGGAGCGAGAGAGAAATTTAAGGAGATTTCACTCATTAAAACGAGGAGCACAACAAGGGGAGATGGCATTAATCAGAGCTCTGTGCTAATGAGGCATTTACTCATTACGCTGAAATAGAGAGAGGCCAAGGAAGAAAAAGAGGGGAGACATAAAGGGGGGGAAGAGAGAAAGAGAGAGAGAGCACAATATAAATTAAAGGAGTAGAATGGGGGGGTGGTTAGCCAGCAATGTGGAGGGAGGTGACGGAGTGCAGGGTGGATGTGGTGGGAGGATAAGCTAAAGACAAAGATGAAGTAGGATATACAGTGTGGAAACAGACCATATTGACTCAGTGTTGATGGAAGAGCAGCGTCTCTATTTAAAAGCTCTATTTAAAGATTTGTTTTGGTCACTAGATTAAGTTAAATACTGACAACGTGGTTCCTGATGAAAATTAGTGAGCTGCCCTGCATTTAATGGACTATTTGTCCATTAATCCTAGTATGTTGTAGTATTTACAAGTCAGTCCCATAAAAAAGGTACTTTCTTTAATGTTAAGTGTCACTACAGCTGCTCTCAGACGTGCACTGATGTCCTGCAGTTTCCAGAAGGGCTGTACGTTACAACGCAAATGTCAGAGTCATTTGCTCCGCCCATTTTAGGGATCTTTAACTGCCAGTTCAGTAGTTAATGTCTGGAGAATGTCCAAGTGAGCCCATGTGAGAATATAGCAGGGACATTTCTGGAGAATTCACAGTGAGCGAGCGGGCGTATCAATGATTGTAACGTATGACAAGACGTACAACTGCAAAAACAAAAAGAACACAAATATCTCAGGATGGAAAAGACGGGCAATACAATGACAACAAAGATGTTAACTTGTTAATCTCCTGCTTTTGGAAAAAGTCTGGATCCAATTTTGATGGACAAACGTAGGAAAATCAAACATTTACAAATACTTCTGATATCTTTGTAAAAAATTATAAAATGCAGTGAAGTTAGTTTTGCCTTTGCTTCTTCACTCTGTGTGTGTCATGGTGGTTTACATGGACGTCTGATGAACGACCTGTGTCACACCTTGCTAAGTGGAGTCGTTAATATGTGCATTATTGAAAGTAGGACGACTGTCATAACTGACCCACTGTGCATTTATCATCTTTGAGATTTAAAAAGATTGAGGAGGAACCAAAGCAGACAGTGTATCTGCCGGAGCCATTGCTACTGTATACGGTCTCTCTGTGCTGCTGTGAAGTAGAACCCAAACACCGAGGAACAGAAAGTGTTGATTTATTTACTGGTTGTCAGTTGTGCTAGTTTTTGCAGCCTCTGGTATTAATTCGAAGTTTTCTCTCTCAGTGACGGAGCTGTTCGTGTTGCAGTGGCCAATATGAGCAAATAAAATGTCTTCATGTTTGTAAAAACAGTTAGACTACGAGAAACAGCAACGTTTTTGAGGAGAACACAAACATCTGCACTTCATGGTGTGGAGCTGCTGTATCGAGGTCCCGTCAAAAAAACATTCGTCCAATCACGAGTCAGTCTCAGCTGTTAATCATGATGTTTCACTCCATTTTTATGGCATCAAATCAATTATTCAAACCAGAAAACCTTTGAACAAACATCAGTGTGATACCTGGAATGTTTATTTTGACTTTTTAGTTTGGTCACTGTCCCATCCAGGAGCATGGAGGAGGAGGGATGCATGACCTATATTGCAGCCAGCCACAGGGGGGGGATCAGGAATATAATCTAGTGTGTAACAGACTAAGAATAGTTGTCGGCATCTCGTCAGCATTAAAGAAGAAATTAACAAAGATTTGTCTTCTGGGAACAGTCACTTATTTCTTGAAAGTTTTAAATCTCAATCTCCAAGGAGGGAGATTTACTGAGTTGGCTCTAAACCCCATTCATAATGTTACCTCCCAGTCTTTTTATAGCTTCTGCAGATTTGTGGTTTTCCTGCTTAATGAGAAAGAAAGAAGGACAAATTATAATTGTGTGGCCTAAAACCGCAACACTTTAGTTACTGACCCTTCCATGACACCACAACACAAATCTCCCTCTTTTTTCAGGCGGGAAGCATCGTACAAAACACATCTCCCAGCATTTTCTTCCTCTCTGTTCCTTTCAGTCTGTAGCCTCCTCCCTTCGTTCTTCTCTCTCCCTCTCACATTGTCCTCATCATTACCCTGCATGTGTATGATTCAGATCTAATCTGAGAAATCCCATATCACTGGGATCATAAATCTAAGATCTATATTTAGTTCTGGCTCTAGCCTTTTATCTTGCTCTCAGACCGTGGTATGACAAACAGTTTGGTTTTAATTAAAACTTGGTTAGAAGCCGTCCTGACATTCAACCCTCGGCCTTGTTCCTCAGAGGACGTAATTCAACTCACTCTGTCTCTCTCTCTCTTTGTCTGTCTTGCCAGGACTCTGACCTTGTGCTGACTTTTAACCTGTCCATGCATCGCTCCTGGTGGATGGAGAACGGCCCCGGGTGCAGGGTGACGCCCATCACCCCTCCCCCGTCCTGGGCACCTGAGGACCACCGATATATATCAATAGCTGGCTGTCTGATGGATTTCCAGTTCATAGAGGTGGCCCACTCCTCACTGCAGATACTCCTGGCTGTAAGTACTTGAGCCGAATGAGTACTTTATGGTATGCACTGTAATTTTTTTAAATGGCTTTAAATGTTCTTCTAACAAATCGGAGTGCCTGTTGGTCACAGCTAGTGCTATTGTTAATATGTTGCAGTTGTAATTGTAAAATAGTGACACTTTTTAAATATACTCTTTTTTGCTCTTTTTCTTAGTCAGGGACAACCAAAACAGTAAAGTTTGGGTTCTGTAAATCCAAAGCAATTTACTGAGAGAGACTAAAATGCTCCATAGAGTTGAGATTTTGGGAACTGCAGACATTTATAATTCATAAAGAATGATATAATCTAATATTCAGGGACAAAGTTTCCCCAAAATATTGAACTGTAGCTTCAGTATTTCTAAAGTTTGCTATTGATTTAAAATAAGCCTGTTATGAAAGTGTGTGCTTCTGTGAATGTGTTTTTGTGTGGACAGGATTAATGTGAAGTGGTTAAATTCTACTCTTGCTGTGACATAGTGCTTTCAAATGATTGCACCTGTTCTGTTGATGCTCTATACAGTTACACTCACTAGTTTAATGCATTCTAACGTGTATGACAACCAATGCCAACTTCTTTGTCTGTTGCAACTGGTCAGGTAATGTTGATGATTGTGCGACTCTGCAGGATCTGTTTTAGAGTTGAATAAAGCATTTCAGCTCCATTAGGTTAATGACTTCATACCCTCATTTCCACAGAATGGGCCGGAGACTCTCCCTCGCATATCTCAGTATTTTCTTTGTGTCTCTCTCTTTCTCTCTTTGTCTTATTTCATTGTTGCAAACACAATTTTGTTCTCTCTGTGTTTTACCCTCGCCCTCGAATTTCCTCCTCTACTGCACTGTCAAACTGCGATAATTAGCAGGATCAGAGAGAGACAGCGGTGGGAGAAATAAAGAGCCGGAATGAGGGAGGCCTGTCACTTTCATCCCTGTCGTCTCTGCACTGTAGTTTTTTCTGGGTTTACACATACAGGCACGATAAACAAACTGACACTTAAATGTGACTGCATGCATCATTATACCATTACAGAAAACAGAGAGAAAAGAGTTTGGGAGTTTCAGTGCGCCTGCCTCCTTTATTGTTCATTGTGCATCTTCCCCTCCTCACTTAGCATTCTTTCACCCGCTCTTCTCATCCACTCGCCACGTCTCTCTGTCAATCGATAGTGGTACTTCTAGTGTGGCGTAGTGCCAAGCCACCACACAGCTGTACCACTGTCTCACTGTAATTGGTGTGTGGAAACACTGTCATGCTCCATGAGCACACACTCCACAGTCTGACTGGTTCACTGGCTGACTGGCTGCCTGGTTTACTGTAATTGGTGGAAACACTGTCAGGGTGCTTAGTAACATACGTCATCTGGCCAGGCAACAGACTGACTAAGTAAGGGTTTGAGTGGGTTTGGATGTAAAGTGACTGGTTTTTGGCCTTTTTATTCGTTAACTGATTCCTGGAGTGAATAAATGAGGGGTAATCAGTCAGTTCCGACCTGTGGGGTAGTTACTTTTGAGAAATCGGTTTTGAATAGGCAGGATTAAAAAAATTCTCATGTGTCATGAAGTCAAAACAGGCTCTGAGGCGTCTGCAGCTGTTAAAGTCCTCAGCAGAGCATATTTCTGTTTGGCTGGGTGGTCAGTCGTGTATGTGATGGACTGCTTTGTCTGTCTAACTGGGTCACTGACTGTGTGATTGTGTTTCTCCTCCGTGGGACATGGACCATACTATAAAGACAGAGTACATGACAACTAAATGGATTGATATGAAATTTAGTCCAAACCATAAACTGTATCCAATATATAAAGATGGACGCCATGACAGCTCCTCAAAAGTGAAGCCGAATCATCTTGATCTCCCCTGGTGGCTGGCAGTATCAGTCATGAATCTCCAAAAAATCTGAATGGGAAATGGACAAAAAAACTAAAAGGTAAAACTACATGTCAAATTATCGTTTTACGTCGTTCTTATCACACTGATATATGTGATAAGAACTACCTGAGAACAGGGTCAAATGTCACGATTGACAGCAGTGACTGACTCACGATTAGTCGAGGACATGTATTGGTGGGGCCTCATTGCTGCGACTCCATCCCCCAACCGCTACTGCGCAAACTCTGGCTCCAAATGGTGTCATTGTTGTAAATGTTTGGGATATTCTGGCTACATTTCTGGATTAAGTGGAGATACTTCATCCAGCTTTATATACAATCTATGCTATTTTTAGTTTGGTTTTATTATCTAAGCTCAAGCCAAGCGTAGAGATACAGAATCCTCAGGCTGTAGGAAAGTGGGGAAATGCACAATTATTTCTGTGATTACAGTTTTTTAGGATTTATTCTACCTGCTAATAGCTCAGATTGACTGATAATTAAATGGTATTTCACAAAAAACATCAATGATTAGGCTTCCTGCTGGCACAGTGGTCTAGAGTGCATGGCAGCGAGTAATTACAGTAATTTACATAACTTCAACCAGAGTAGAAAAACTAATCAGTGAAATCACCTACTGTTGTTTTTGGTTTGAAGGAAAACCTGGGTACACTCTGCCTTCTAAAGCACGCAGTCAAATAACCTTGATGCTGAAACTCTACGGGTTCACATGAAGAAAATGATCATTAGCTACGCCTGCTTGTTTGCACGCTACACCTTTTATCCACCCTGAGCGAGCTGACTGGCTCAGAGAACAAGCACCGATTACAGTCACTTTGAACTACTTAACAATTTCAACATCCATCATCACATACATTGTGCTCCAAATTGGCTCACGTCCTTGACATATTTCTGGTGTCAGATCCAAAATGTTGAGATAGTTCTGTCAGAATGGGCTGTAACCAGCTGTCAGTTAAAAACTTTATTAGGTCTCTTTTCTTAGGTCACTGAAGATAAAAAAGTGTCACACTTACATTGTTTATTAAATGATTTCATTTCACAGGCAACTGAAGCATCAGGTGTGACACTCATTCTGAAGAATCCAGGGAAAAGCTTTAAGCAACCGGAGGTTTCTCATGCCCTGAACAAAAGGAAACATTCCGGATTCTGATTATTCAGTCAGTTAATCCATCTCAAATTAAATAAACAGATCATTTTTTCACAAATTGTCTTTTTTTTTTAAATCTAAGGAAAAGGTGACTGAAAAGGTTTCTATATTTTTCTCATTCATCATAGGTGAAGTTACAAATTGAGTCATTAGCATATGAAGCGTTGTTCCCCATTATCATTTTTATTGCCCGAATTGAATGTGACATTGTTGTCATTGACACTAGACAGTGATGTCATGCTAGGTTCAAATTGTATTCATGGAGGCAGCACTGGGACCAGATTGGTTTTCATAGCTGTTGTTGCTCAGGGAAAAAACAATGTTTGAGAATTGAATGTCAGTCAGCCGAGGCCACCGCTGTGCTCTACAGCACTAATCCCATATCTGCTGAATAAGTAAAACCTCGCCTTTGTTTGTGTGTTTCTTTTCTAAATTAAGACAGGTTACACAATTCTTAAATCAATTAAACAAAAGCGTGCAGCCAGGGATGGTACATGTCAGCTGCAAAATTGTTGTGCATTAGAGCTGGGACATGGGATGAAAATAAACATCCTTCGCAGGTGAGCGAGATTGAGATTTGTTGCTGTAATATGTGTGCACTCGCATCCAATGGCATAAACTCAGATAAAAGTGATTAGTGATAATTATTTGATGTGATTTTTCAATGCAGAACTCACTCACCGACAAAATATTTTTGTTCTAAATAATTTACAGAGCACTGAGGAGCCATCAAGGAAACTGAAGCAATACATTACTTTAAGTTTAAAGTAGAGCCTGATCGATATGATACCACTATGAGGGAGTTCAAGTTTCCGATATGTTGGCTGATATAGATATGTATATTAAAAAGTAATTGGCAATTATTCATAGAAGAGGGTCCACTCCCTATGATTAGATTAGAAGGGCTCATTCTGACCTCAGGAAAACACAATGATTCTTAGTTTCGCCTAAATCCCACATACTGGTCCTTTAGGTGGCGCTTTATCAGCACAAACAGACTTGATCTAATGGAGGTGACACCTTCATCACTGCACAATTTGGTGCAGAATGATGCAGCAGTAATGGATTCTTTCACTTGAGATGAAAACAATGCATTCGATACAAAGCAGGATTGTCATACAGAAAGACAAGAAATCTACATGTCTTGGCCTGAAGAAGAAATAAGGAGATGGGACAGAAATCATTATGGATCAAAATAACGTCATGATCTGCGGAAATGTTCGTCGTAGATCAACCTGTGAGCGGATTAAGTTTTACAAGTTTTACAGACCTTGAGGGAGACAATTCCATGGTGTCAGCACTTTGCACCATGATTGTTTTGGCAAAAATGCAACCTCACCTTCCCCCTCGGCAGAGGACAAACTGCGTCACTGGGTGACTGACCTATAGCTGCCTTCCCCTGGCATCTGTCCTTGCTCTTCTGAAAGGTCTCCTCCCCTGGTGTGTTCCCCGGGTTCATTGGTCTGAGGCTATACGGCGCACCGAGTGCAGGTTTCCCCTTCCTTATCACACACCAGCTGTTTGACATTCAGCTAATTTCTCCCTGAGCTCCTTTTTCCAAACTTCCAGGTGTTCTCGGGATCTCTGCTAAGGGAGCATTTGGGACTTGATTATTGTAGGAGAGAATGATGATTCAGTTATCTTTTTGTACTTTAATGACATTTCCTTTCTACTTGGGTAATGTAGCCCTACGCTTTTATGGGCCTCTTGATCATTTTGGGCACCTTGTTATCTGTAAGGTTTTTTAGGGGAGCTTGTACTTGCAAGACTGCAGTAAAATCTAGTAATAAATCTGTGCAAGTATCCTGGCACTATAGACTAAATCCTTACCTCTGTTATTGTATATGTTTATATATAGAAAAATCACTAATTTTATCGAATTACTATTATAGCAGACAAAAAGGGTAATTAAAGCAAATGGGAGCGATTCCTAAGAAGCTGTATATATGGACTTTGGGGGGTGGCACCATAAAGTGCTTAAGAAATGGATGTAGACTCCGGTTCCGGAAAGTGAAGCCAATATGGGAGTGCCTGAAAACTGCATTGTCTGGACTGACCAGCAGAAGGAGAATCCACTGTTTTTCTATAGAAGGAAAATGATGTCTCTCCTGATATATACAACATCAGTAAATGTTTTCATATGGAGTTCAAGTTCTCAATCCCCAATTCCAAGTCCTCTTCAATACATGAAGTTTTTTTTAATTATGGTCCCATTAAGAGTAAAACAGACACTAAAGCACAGTGGTCAATGGGGAGTGGATATTGTGTGATTGACAGCTAGTACCGTCCAATGGGTGCAGGTCTCTGGTGGCTTTGCAGTATACTTGAGCTCCAAGATGGCGCTGGCCAAAATATTAAATCGGGGGCAAACCAATGGGTCACATCACAGTGAGTTGCCATTTAGTGGAGCCTGAGAACAGGGAGTATGCCTCAGTTTGAAACTGAAGAAGACAGTGGGAAGACATTGATAAAGTGTAACTGAAGTGCAGGAAGCCCAATTTTCAGCCATCATCCCTGCAAACATTTGCCCGGAACATTCTGTTCTGAAGCTCTGAATGGGAAAGATGTTGCAGTCTGTTGTGGAGAGGCAAGAACAAGTACGTTTGACGGATGATTATCCATACCATTACACTCCTGTTGCCTTAAGAAAATTTCACTTGGTTCTGCTGAATTGTTGCTTAACTATCTACATTTGCTGTGTTTACCATGGCAACAAGCTCCGGCTGTACAGATTGTTAAAGAAATGGGATAAAGACGGTCTTCCTGCCTTTTGGAATACAGTGTGAACTGTGCACTTAAAGCCCCATAAAATCAGTTCCCGCTGTGAATTAGGTACATGCGTCTGTGAGGTGAAGTGGTGAAGTTATACAAGTTATTGCTCGTCAGGCCAATTGGATCAGGGATCCTGTCTGAGTTCATGCAGAAGTGGTGCTATTTTCATTCCCGCTCTTCACACCAAACATCCTTCGTTTCTACAGTGGTAACTAGGTAACCTTAACCCACAGACAAAATGTGTAAAAGAACCAGTGTCTGTCTGATTGTACAACAGAATCTGCAAACCAGGGAGGAAATGTTTGGAACAACAAACACCTTTTACTGTCAGGCAGTTGGCATTGTTACCACTCTGTAGTCGTCAATCATTGACAGAAATAGTTTGAGACTAAAAGGAAGTTCGCAGCAGTCGAAGTTCAAATACACCCCAAGCTGAAGCATATTCTTTTAAAGCGGATGAGCCTTTCAGTTAATTCTCACTGCTGCAATTTTTTCCCGAGCATAAACCCTGATAAAACCTTCACTCCCCGTCTTTCTTGTTTTCTTATTTCACTCTGCCGCAATATAAAGGTCTGAATGCTGCGAGCTTCGATGTATGAGTCACTGTGAGTAAAATAGACACAAAAAGAAATAAATTAAGTTACCTTCAAGGAGAATGTCAATGTCGTCTGAAAACAGCGCTGTGGGCAAAGAGCTGTTGCTTGGATGTGTTTTGATCTAAATCTTATTTGTAACAGCACTTGTTCCTGGAGATGGTGTAATGTCGTTAACATATCAGATGTGTTTTGGGGAGCCTTTTTGCTCAAAATGCTAAATACTTTTCACGGTCTGTCATGAGCGTTATTGTCCAGATATGACTGCAGGCGCTAAACCAACTCAGACCCAGAACTCCAGCACAGAACAGAGCACACACGTCATAGCTAATATTGGTGCAGCCTGATTATGGGGAGAAGATATAATAAGGGTTATTGTAAAAAGGATATTACGTTTACATGCATCGACACCAAAACTGAATTCTTGACTAATATATTATGAATATTAACAGGATATTGATGTGCAGAGGAACATGCTCTGTCACAGCTGATCAGATGTTCTCTATTGCAGTGTGGGCACGGCTCTCTGCTCTCTGTTCAGTGGTGCTAGTGAAACTGCACCCAAAAGCCATTTTCAGGGGCAATGAGCCTGCAGAAGACAGAATGAGCTCTCCGGATCCGCTCTCACTCCCTGTGACTGAAAAGTCTCCCGACTCTTGAAAGTCTTTTAAACAATGTTTTGACTTTGTAGCAGTTAAAGTCTCCTTCATAATGAATGGTAATGATTAATCATTTTAGCTGGAGTGGCAGTCTGAAGCTTGAGTGAGGTCATCTTTAAGGAGACACATTCAGGTTCATAATTTTGATCTGGGTTATTACTTGAAGAGACTTCCACTCTTTTGTTAAAGGATCTAATGTTGAGGAACACATCACTTCCCTCATACTGTCCATTGCTGCAGCTCCTCTTTTCATCCTCCGTCTTAAACACTTGGTTTTAGCTCCTGTCTCTGAAAGAGACAGCGGAGCAGAGCTCTTTCTATTGCGGACTATGTGATTTTCACACAACCAACACAATACAGGAGAAAAAAACTCTCATATGTCTCCTTTAACATTTGAAAATGAATGTGTTCTGCTAAATTCCTATCAACACTTCTGACATCAAAGATTTTGTAGCCTGGAAGGTTTATTGCCATCTTTGACCCCTGGTAATTTCTCAAAGGCATTTCTGCAACATAAAGTCTCCTGTTTTATCCAAATTGATTTTCTCATCACCGCTGATCCCCATGCTGCTGGCAGCATTGTCGGCTGCTAGCATTTGGATCAGCTTAAGGTAAATTCATCCCCCCGCTAAGAAAAGCACTATATTTCTGTGACTCATTTACTTGTCAGATACTGGAGAGAAGAGAGCGAGAGGAATAAAAAGAAAACGAGCAGGAAGGAAATCAGTGATGTATGGGGGGGCAGAAAGACAGAAGAGGGAAAGCTGGAAGTGAGCGAGGGAGAGAGTAGGAGAAAAGGACGGAGGAGAGATGTGCTTCGGGAGCGGAACATTATTTAGACTAAATGAGGTCAGGACCTTGAGATATACACTGAATCTCAAATGCTGCATTTGCAGCTCGCTGTGTGTGTGTGTGTGTGTGTGTGTGTGTGTGTGTGTCTGTCTGTCTCTCCATGTAGTCAATAGAATACCAACAAAGTCAATGTCATTTTTCCTACACATAAACCCTTATTTGAGCAGTAAGTGTTTATTTATTCAGTATAACATGTTAAATGCCTCAAACACACACACACCCACCTCTACCTCCATCACTGTCAGCCCGTATCCTCATCTCTTCCCATATTGTTTTTCCCTCTCTTTCCTCCTGTATCAATGCAGGGTAATGAAGTCATCAAAATGCTTACCCTAAGTTGACTGCACCTTCCTGCATCTTTGCTCCAATCAGCTGCCTCTTATCAGTTACCCTGGTAACAAACAGCCAATGATCAGAGAGCAAAGGTGTTCTGCTAATGTGGACTACTAGATCACTGTCTAAATAACACAGACACACACACACACACACACACACACACACATACATGTTGAATGTGGTGTTTTTTGATAACAAGTACAGCACACAGCACTGTAGCCTCCTCTTTCAATCTGCAGCCATCATTGTTCTCAGGTTTGTCAGAGACCTCAAACAGATGTGAGACCATGAGGTAGAACGATGTGAGGCCGACACAACAAAGCCCTCTCGGAGTGGGTGGCTGTGCACGAGGCTTTTGGTCTCGACAACAGCAGCGAACACGGAACTATCTCACCCTGACATCGAAGTACCAAAGCAACAGAGGGAGATGAAAATTCAATTTCAGTGATCACAATCTCACTCGTGTTTACCCACAGCGCCATAACGGAGGAGGTTTCGATGATTCTTTCTTTTATTTTAGTAAGATGTGTATTTTTCGGTGCAGCTCGAAAATTGCAACTTTATGTTTGTCTTTGATGACGCCAGACATTCTGTGTGTGTGTGTGTTTAGGTATTACTCATGTTGTAGGGACCTTAATCTGTTAACATGGTCACATTATGGGGACTTAATGTCCAAAAAGGAAATTCCCTAGATCTATATCATCAAGTGCTAAAGTTTGGTCTATAGGTCCAAGTTTTGGTTTAAAAGAGGCAAATAGTAATCATGATTAGCGTCCAAGTGTGTGTGTGTGCATGTGTGTGTGTAGCCACTGATTCAAGTGCTCTATTTCAGAGCAGTATAACACTGTGCTGTTCTGCTCCACTTGCACCAACACCTGTTTTCTTTGTCTGTTCTAACTAATTGTTCAGGGTCCATGCTCAATCTCTCTACCTATCCATCTATCAATCTATCACCTATCCATCCGTTCAATAATCCCTTGTTTCCTCTGCTCTCTTTGTCTCTAGTTGGTGGGGTTCATCTACGCCTGCTATGTGGTCAAGCTCATTTCTGAAGAAGAGGATAGCTGTAAGTACACATAAACATGGACTTACATACATACACGCACAAATACAAGTACCCTGTGAAGTCAATGTTTTTCTCACTGTTTGCTAAGCTGCACCATTGCTACTATACCTATCAAGCTTTCTGCTTAAGCCAAACACATATGCAGATCATAGACTGTACATAGAAATTGACGACATGTCAACACGCACGTCAAAGCATCTTGATTGCCCCCTGGTGGCTGGCTGCAGTACATGTTCATTTTCGGTAACTCTTATCACTCTGACTTTGGTTGTTGTTTAGTTATTTGATGATATATAAACACCTGGTGAAAAGTCATCATTGACAGCTGAGAGTCACTCCGCTAGTAGTCACATGCGTGTAATGGTAGTACCTTGATGACCTTAATACCATGGCTCCATCATACCATCGCTGTACTTCACAGACTCTGGATCCAAGTATAGTCTTTGGCGCAAGGTGGCAGCGTCCGTATCTGGGATATTTTGGCTTTAATTCTGGACAGTGGGAGGAAGTGGAGACGCGGCGTCCGTCTTCATATTCAGTCTATGATCCTTTCCAACATTTAAAAATACACACCACCTTCCATCCTCTTGAAATCCCAAGTATTGTTCTGGAGCCTGCAGCCTCGTGCACACCACCTCAGTATGTGGAGAATCTTGACAGACCAACCTTGTGTAGTTATGAAACTCACTGATTGGTGAGCTTTTACATTTTTACATGAGGTGGTCCTTGTTGGTTTGACTTCATGGGACTGATGCTACTTCAGTTCTAAAATCATGTCAAACTCCTGAAACAAATTTAATCTGCACCTCCTCTTTCTCTCCATCCGTCCAACCCGCCTCACCCTGTTCTTCACTCTCTTTGTATTAAAGCAGCGGGTTTGAATGAAGCCGTCCTGGACTGACAGCCTTGGCTGATACTTCAATTCAATGTGAAACTTATAGCCTCCAGGTTTCACAGCTGCGCTCATTCATTTTCAGAAACAAAAGGAGGGATTAGAGCTACGTAGATTCACGCTCAAACAAAGTTCCCTTTCATCTGTACGTCTCTCCCACAAACTTTCAACTACCCTCAAACATAGCATAGAGCCTCTAAGACCAATAAAAGTTATTCACTCACCTAAACTCTCATTTATTCAGCCTTTTATCAGTGCATCATTTCATCAATACGACCATGTGGAATGGGAAGTATGCAGTTTTTGAAGTGAAAGGAATCATTTAGTCAATTAGTAAGCATTTTGACAGTCTAAATGAATTGCATTTGAAGTGCACCTACCAGTAAAAAATGTGGAAATTGAGGCAAATCAACAGGTTGATTCTGTGATTGCAGTCACAGTGTGTGTTTGTGCGTTCGTACGTGCGTGTGTGAGGACTTGAATTAGCCCCTTTACCTGAGCCGGTTAGTTATTCCACTTAAGTACATGCAGCTATTCTGCTGGAGGATCAATAACTAATGTTTCATTCAACAGTGGATTGAAGATGCTCTTTACGAACACAGAAATATTGATAAGGTAATAAAAGCAGTCTCTGGAAATAGTTTGAGGCGCTGTGAGTCTAAATTTTCCCTAAGGCAAAGCTTAAAGGAGCTTAAAGCAAATAAAGGGTTGAGTCTGACAAAACCTTTTTTTTTTCCTGAGCAGCAGCTGCTATAAAAGTGTAAAACTACACTGCTACTACTTTTCTAAAGGTTCTTAATGTGACAAACTACCTCTGTGTGTATCGAGGTCACAGTCAAATATTAAAGCTTTTCATTGTTAAAGTTAAAGAGCAGTTCAAAACACTAAATTTATTCCACTTTTATCAGTTATTTCTGACTTATTGAGTTTCAGGGAAGAAGGATAGATTTTTAACACTGCATTTAAAATAGCTTTGTGATGACAAAAAACCTAACCTGCCTCTTGGTCTCTGTCTAAATAACTAACAGTTGTTTATTTTCTTTTATGAAAGTATTTTGGTTATTTGATATAACATATGTTTTGGTGTTTTTGTCTATCCTTTATTCATTCATTTAAAGTGGGCTCAATTGGAAAAAAGGTGATGTCACAAAGACCGGACCATTCTGTTTGGCAGCATTTTGATCGAATCACGGGGCAGTTAAGGGGCAGAGGGGTTTACACCTGGTGCAACCATAATCAAACTATAAGAGAGTAATGACTGATAACCTTTTTATACCTTTTATCTGATTTTTTAATCACAAATATTTGAAAATAAAACCCTTATATTTCAAACTGAGTTTTCAGGGGCTTTCTATTTCTATATTTCTCAATACAACAGGTCACCAGTCACCTGCTTGTCTTTGGATTTTAGCAGGAACCATAGGCTGTATTAAAGATGGATCACGTGTCTCCACTTCCTTCCACTAACCTGATATTAAGCTAAAACACCACCATTTTGTGCACTTGGAGCCAGAATCTGCACAGTAGTGATTGGGGAGGGGACCACGGAATCAAGGTCCCAGAGAGTTTTATTTGACTTTTAAGTTTGGTTCATGACCCATCCACTAACATGGAAGAGGCAGAATTTATGCCCTGGACTGCAGCCATCCACCGGGGTGTGATCAAGAAAATTTGGCTTCACTTTAGAGGAGCTGTCATGTCGTCCATCTTTACATACAGTCAGTGGGAGTAACCAAGACCACACAGAGTGAGACTTGGGGAAAGCATTCACACACAGATGAGCGATAATAAGCTACATGAGTCATTTTCCTTCCCCCCCTCATGGGACAAATGTTATCAAAAGGAATCAGGACTCAAATTGAGGTTTTGGGCCACTAATGAGGCTTAATGAACACACACAATGGTAGCATCATGTCAGATGCGTCATTTTCACATAATGACAAAGATCATTTTCTCCTGAATAATTTCGGGATCCATTGTAAAAGTCATGTTGCTGCGCATTACCCTCTGAATTCGTCTGTGGAAAGTGCCGCGCACTAATGCAATGTGGGAGACTAAACAATAGTCAGGGAGCTTAGTAGGGAAAAGTGCCTTGGGGCGAAGAAGCAAGTACTCACTGAGGACTGATGAAGATTTTAAGTTGCTGAGAAAGCTAATTACTCTGATAATTATTCTGTGCATGTGCAAGTATGAGTGTGTGTGATTGTGTCTGTGTGGAGAGATAATCATTATATTCAGTCTTATGTCTCACAGCTATTCAAATGTGTCAGACAGTCTCAAACACTCACGTGAGCACATGAACGACACGCTCACCTTAAGCAATCAGTCCTTGTGTAAACAGATGTGTTTTGGATCTTTAGTCAATAGTGAAAATTTATAATTAAAAAATGAAAAGCATCGAAGAGGCGATATATACCCTGTGCACGAGCTTCATATACACCAAGGCAATGTTAATGTTTTCACAGTGTAATATTGCCCTGTTCATAATGTTTCAGTGTGTAGAATATAGTGACATCTAGTGGTGAAGTTGCATGTTGCAGCTGAATAACTCTCACCTCACCCTCCCCTTCCAAGGAGAACCTGTGGTAGCCTTCAGTTGTCATAAAAACTCAAAAGGTGTTTAGTTTGTCCAGTTTGTACACGAGAAGTATTTAAATATAAAGGGCCCAATCTAGTACAATGTAGATGAAACACACTAGTGAAAACATCACTAGGGTTACTTTATATTCAATTTTTCGCAAATAGATCCCTTTCACCTTAATCTTCAAACTGGACCTTTAATTATGTCATTTTCTGATATCGTAGTGATGTCACTATGATGTTATTACTACCATATAATCAGAAAGTATTTTTCAATCTATAGAAGGTGTAGGCCGTATCTATAGTTCTATGGAATGCAGAGATACCTTGCAAATTGCATATTTGAACGATGCATGAGATAATTGTCTTTGTGACTTCTTTTGTCTCTGTCACCCTTTTATTTAGAAATCTTGGAGAATGTGTTTTTGGATCATATTTTATTTGACCTTTGAACCAATCTGCTCCAAAAGTTTATCATCAGGAGTTACACTCCAAAGTAATATTCCTACAAACTCTGGTGAAAATCCATCCATGCTTAGTTGAGTTGTTTTGTACACAATCACACACACACACACACACAAAAAGAATATCACTATAAAGGAAAACAAATATTTGACCGTAGGAATCCAGGAAATCGGACTTTTGCTGTTTACTGATTGAACCTTGTAAAACTTCCTCACATCAAACTACAGTTTCAGGCTTTTTGAGAGACATTTAAACTACAGCTTGATTGGCAGCATACTCAAAAGGTAAACGGTAAGGGGACTTTCTTTCTACTTATGTTTAAAGGGTCATGCGTGGCAGAAACTCTGCTGAGACTATTTCACAGCAGCATGACTCAGCAGGAAACTCTTAACGTTAACACCAGGTCATTTTTTCCTCACAGGGATCCACAGTTACACCCGACTTGTTCAGGAACATAATAAAGAAGGGAGGTCCACACAACAAGCATTTAAGTAAACAAGAAATGTACTAGGGATAACACAGCATGAGAAAGATTCAGTTATTAGTCAGAATTTCAATGTAGGATCCACAACTTGTTCTGTAGTACACCCTTCAAGAAGCAGGATAGAAAACAATTAAGACTGCTCCTTCCGCTGAGACGTTTTCTGTCTGATGCATCGGACTCTGTTCCAAGACATTAGACTCTTCCCACTTAGCTTTGCTCCTTGTACCTCAGGTTGCTGTTTGGCACTTTCATCTGGTTCTTCACATTCCAGTTAAGGTGAACTCGCATCCAACGGCGATGGAGAGTCTTCTCCAAACCATCGTCGCACCCAAGTCATTCCCCAGGATAATTTGTACACTTTGAATTGCCAGCACACGACAGACGCCCGATTTCTACTTCCATACAAACCAGATCTGATGAGATGGAAATTATGTAAGGGGAATAACAACGGGAGAACTAACACCGATGCTAGTGGATAGGACTTTTGGCCAATAGTGGTATAAGTTAGGAAAGGCAAGATGCTGTATCTACAGTGTCTCACAGAATTATAAAGACATCTTCTTCTACATCTAAGACAGAAGATGCGTATACATCTCAATGTTCTGTTTTCCTGTTGCGTGGTTGAGACTTACAAGAAAATTATCTTAATAATTCCAACAGAATTCATGAAAAAATAAAGTATGAGAGGAAAAGACACCTTGAGAGACTTTCTCTAACACTTTGACAAAACAAGAAAATATATCTATATGCTAAATTTCTACACTGATGAAATGTTTCTTCAGTCGTATGATTCTTTGGAATTTAATAAAAAATTGACTAGTGTGCAGAAGTTGGTGATTCCTAGAATGTTCAACTATTCCTTTCAAAGGATACATTTTACATTTATTAAACTTATATAAATTGAGACGTTTTCTCTATAGATATATACGTGTATGAACTAATCTGGGTAATCTGTGCACTTGTTGGAAATTAACTTGCAGATTTATAGTCAATTTACAGCGACGGCCAGATTCCACATTGTCCTTAAAGTTATGAAATCTCACTGAATAAATAAGACTGTATGCTGCTGATCAAGGCGAGGAAGTGCCCTTTTATGAGCTCTACAACATCAAAGTGAAAAAAATTCACATCACTGCCTCCCCTCTTCAAAAGTCCAGACTCTGCCTCAGTCGATGGGAAGCAACCACCTGCTGGCAGCTGCACAGCGCAGGAAATATGTGCCGCTATCCTGGATAATTTAGGAGTTAAGCGTATTCTCAAGGCATAAATATACAGCCGCAGTCTTAATCTTCCTCCTATAAATGGAATCAGACTTTCAGTGTGGTATTTATATACAGCCGAGGCCAGATTTTCACTGGAAGCCGTGTCATGCCGACAGCTCTGATTAGCTGAGAGACAGAGGCGGTGATTCTTGTACAAACAACTGTTGAGATCTGTGTAGGTGTGGGAGGCCTAATGCAGTGAATCATCTGTGGTGGGAGGTTCCCACATGAGCATACATCCTCTCTAATTAATTGTGTTTGTTTGTTCTGTTTGTTTGTTGGTGAAGTTGATTTTATAGGCGGGTTTGACTCGTACGGTTACCAGGGGCCTCAGAAGACCTCCCACCTCCAGCTACAGCCCATGTACATGTAAGTTTGGTTACTCTCCATCAGCATGTCAGTGTGAGTGCTCGGTGTGAATACTTCACTGGTGGTTTTAAGACACGTACAGGTTATCCTTGAGGGTCGTGGGGGGGAGCTGGAGTCAATCCCAGTTGACATTGGGTGAGAGGTGGGGTACACCCTGGACATCCTCACAGGGCCAACAAGCAGAGGCAAACTCCACTCTCACTCTAAACTTAGGGACTGTCCACAGTGATGCAGACCTTTTGCCTCTCCGTTTTGACCTCTCGTCTAACAGCCCAAGTGGATCTGATTGTTGAATTACAGTGTGAACAGCACAAACCACATGCTATCTGATCTTTTCAAATCTGGCCACTTTCATATGTGGATCTAAATCAGATACAGATCGGATTTTTTTGCGACCATGTGACCCGTATTGGAAGTCAGTAAGACTTTGACATCACTCTAGAATGTCTTCCCTCTTAATTTTGCGCATGTGAAGACAGCTGTGATGGAGGTAGTCAGTGGAGGGACAATAAGGTTTTAGACCTCATAAGTGGGGGGGACACATCTGTACGAGCAGATCTTGAGGGGTGGTATCATAACCGGACTATGTTTGAAAGCATCAAGTAAACACTCAAATCTGTGGCCTCCATGTTATCAAAATATATAACTGATAATATATTTTGTAAAACGAATGTCCATTTGAAAAAATACCTGTAGTTGTGTAGACAGATCCTCAGAGTCTCCAATTAACCTAACCCCAATCTGAATGTCTTTGGACTGTGGGAGGAAGGTATAGTATCCAGAGAAAACCCCCACACACAAAGATGCAAACCCCCCACGGAAAGCCCCCGGCAAATCTATTCAAACATTATTTATTCACAAAAATAGGATCAAATAACATTTATTATGCAGAATGTCAACAAAACAAAATCCAGTTGTAATTTTGCTGAGCAAAGAAGTTGACTTTAGTTTTGTGTGTGGGAGGCTGGCATATCTCTCTCTCTGAAATCCTACCCCACCATCAACAGCAAACTGTGTTTAGGGACTAATTTTCATCAGTATTTGATACCTTGAGGTCTGCATGAGATGATATAAGCACATTTTCACTCCGTCAGCACAAGGTCTCACCATTATTCAGCCCAAGGTCTCATCACTTATCACTGTTGTAGCGCCTTTATCGCTCCCCTCACACGTCGCAAATAATGGGAGGGGGGTGTGAGGAAAACCTCGATCTCGCTCGAGCTGTTTTTCCTAATCAGCCGTTACCGACTTCACCCCACAGTGAATGGAGAGGTATCCTCCAAAGGATTATGTGTTGTGTTGCGAAATGGAATGTGTCGTTTCGGATAGGTTTTATTTTGTATCCAATATGGGGATTTTCTGACGGTCAAACCTCGGATGCCACTTTCGACAAGATCCACGGTTACTCTGAGCCCAAAGAGCCAGTAGGACAACACGAAATCAGTCTGAGTCCGGGCTCCGACGGCCCTGCATCAATCTCACAATCTGGCTTTGTCCTGTGGAAAGCAAACAATACGGAGAAAAGCTTCCCCACTGTAACAAACAACACGGCAGAATAATGGTGATTCCACTGATGTGCGGCCGACAGGTCATCGATACCTGTTTTTATTAGAAAGAAAAGCTGGAGCGAATTAGAGAGAGAGATATGGGTGGACATGGAGAAAGAGAGAGAGAGAGACGTACAAAGAGCAATTGAGCTTTAGATGGTCAATAGAGAATAGCAGAAAGAGGGAGAGATGGAGGGAGAAGGAGAAAGAGGGGAGACAGGAAGATGGGAAACAGAGTGATGGATGAACCGTAGGACTAACCAAAGAAGAAAGGCAATAAAGGGCCATTCTGTAGTTTTATATGTCCCCAGTGGAAACTATAACATAGATCATAAATCATCGACCCCAAGATAATGGCTGCCAACAGAAACACACACTCACACAAGAGCTGGAGTACGAATATACATGTCTACTGTATTCACACACATGCACACACACAGAAGGCTTTAGCTTATACACACACATTAATGTACACACACATGAATATGCGTACACACACACACTCACCAACACAAAGATCATCAATACGCTATCATTGTTCTCCAGCTGTTGTCCCTACTTTGGTGTTTATTGGCTGTGGCCACAGGGACCAATAAAAGGGCTTCAGCTGTGTTCCTACCTCACACACACACACAAACACACACACACACAAATCACATAAATAACTGCACAGCAATCCCCACCCCCAGACTGTTGTAGAGATATACATTTCTTTGCAGAATAAAAAAAAATGTATATCAACTTACATTGTTATTTGTTTGCATTTTGATGACAGTAAGAGAGTGAAGCATAATTCTAAAGCATCAAAGCACGTACAAATATTTTTTTATTTCTGTGTCATGCCAATTCCTTCTGGTATTATATATACTAAACAAAGCAGGAAACAGATGAATGATTCTACGWYTACTACTAMTACTAATAATAATATTAATACCAATAATAATAATAATTAACAATTCAGAGATTAAACACTGTGTCTAATAGATATTATTATTATTATTATTATTATCAGTAGTAGTAGTAGTAGTAATCATTTAAGAGGTACTAGATTCTTGACACAGTATTGTCATATTTGTATTATTTATTTTTCGTTACAATTACAGTAAATACAGCCATCTCATGACACACTTTGGTCATACCAGACAAAATACTGTGGCGTGTTTTACTACTTTTGAACATACTTTTCATTTGTAAGAAGGGCAATAAACAATTTCCTCACAATGAAGGTACACAGAGTCTCTGTAAGGCTCTGTCATTTACACTGTGTCAACACTGATTATGGTTGTTTGGCGAACAAACAGACTAAGCTTTATTCCTCTTGTGTAGCATTCAGTTGTATTATTTTGGATGGAAGGTATCAGAGAGCCAGTATATTTACATAGTGTTAATCGGCCTATTGAGTGATGTTTTGTTCTACAAAATACACAGGACAAGTGTTATTATGTGTTTCATTGACTTTATTAAGGACAATACTGTGCAAAGCATTTTCAAGTAGCTTTAAAGTTAGATAAAATATCCTTGTCGACAGACATTTTCCTGTTGTTGTGAACGCGTCTGACTCTGACAATGTCCTGCTGCGTTCCTCGTATGTGAAAGGCAAACTCCAGAAAATGTGTGGGCCTAATTCTCCAGACATTTTTTACAGAGTTAGTGTCTGAAAACAATTATAGGACATAGCACACATACACAAATGTGTGACTTACCAGCAGGATAGGAACAGTCACAGTTTAAGAGGTTAGCATACATTTTATCATGAATCTATAATAAAAGTCTTTTTGTCAATACTCTTTAAAACACTCTCCTCTTCTCCTCTGCAGGTCAAAGTAAACCCCGGATACTCTCCAGGACTGCTGCCTTACCAACCACCACCGCTCAACATCCTGCTTTTACTACAGCTTTTACTACTCCAACTGTTTTTAGGAGTGAGACACACTCCAGTAGACGGGATACAATGACACTAAAATATCCAACCTACACCACCCCCCTGTACTAAGGCTTCCCTCATCTGCCTGCCTGTTGTTTTTAATTGCAGTTAGGTGTGTTCCTGATGATACACTGGCCTCGTGTGGTTGGACGTGGTAACCGCAGGCTGTATGTTTTTTCTTTTTTACTATGGGTGACACAATGTGGAGCCATTGACTCGTCTTTCCTCTTGTGCCACTGAGTATCTGCACAACCAAAAGGATGCAAAGAGGGCGCAACTCTCCAGTGACGTGTTTTCCTTGGCTTCCAGTGAGAACTTGTGGATTTCTGCCGTCAGAGAATCGTTAACATGGAGCCCTGTTCTTTCACACTAGTCTTGGGATATCTTAGCAGCTCTCAAGCGCAGATATGTGTCACCAAAGAGTAAAAAACCCAGAGACACATCCTTGTGTGCACAATAGAGCCTGTTTAACCGTCTCTGGATCTCTTGGTGCCTCATAGATTAGACACTGCAGGACTTCAACTCCACTGACTGAGCATCTCCGGAGAAGATCAACCGATCGAGGAATGTCAGACTTCATTTTTCTATGATTACTTCATGGTGCATTTTGGAGATTTTCAGCAAAGATGGAGGCTTGATGTTAAAATCGGCTGGACTCACGATCGTCAGTACACACCACACATTTTCCTCTGAATGTTGAATATCATCACATATGTGCATGTGTACAGCAGACACATACAGACAGACAGAAATGCATATGTGAACACACACATGCATGTACACACACACACGCTTATAACATACAACCACTCAACTTCTTCAATGTGAATCTTAATGTTTACAACAGACAGAACGACTTAGAGACAGGCAGGAGGTGCAAGAGACACTTTTAGATGCAGCATCCCAAAAAGGCCAGAGGGTGTTTTTCTCACAGTAGTTAGGACAGGACCGTTAGGACCAGACCGTTGTTCCAGATATGTTTCTTCGCTCTCACTGTCTTAATATGTTGTCTTCCGTCCAAGACAGATGGGTAGAGGGACATAGAGACAAACCATGACAGAGAAAATAGCCATTAAAGAGCAACTGAGGTCAGACAGAAGTTACCCCGTCCAGCTCAGCCCTATTGGAGACATCTCATCCAGCTCTTTCAGCAAAATTTTCCCCTTAAAAATGCTGGGATCCAGATAAAATGCCCTTTCAGCCTTATCATCTGCAGCATCCAGCTCTTTTGAATAACAGAAATAGTTTAAAAACAGCCTAAATCATCCACAGGCAATGCTCACATATAGAGAAAAACACACCTTTTACACAAATGACAATCACAGTCTAAGCGGCCTGAGTTTTGTCATGGATTTGAAATTGAAATCTTAAAAAATTGAACGAAAAAGCTGAAAAGTATTGTCGCCGTTACGTGGGAACAGAGACGCCTCCGGCTTTGACAATACTTCAATAGTTTATTTATCATCGTTTATATATATAATGCAACTCAAACCACTGGTGAAAGAAAGGAGAGTGAAGCATCCACCTTCGCCCGCAGACTAACAAGGACAAAAAACAATGACCTGAGTAATGTCAGAGACGTAGCGGCTCCACCCCTGTTCCACTCGTATTTTAATGTCGAAAGTGCCAACCGAAACACCACATGGACATCTGTAATGCCTGGATTCAGAAGACCATGGACCGGGACCAAAAGTAGTGGGTCTTGGGTTCACTTTTTCTCTCTGGTCCAAAAAAAAACTTGGATATCTAAAAATGTTCCATTCCAGTAGTTTCTCTGTTTCTGTTTTGTTCTCTTCAGAAAATCAACCTAGTCCTTCTGGAAATGAAGCTGTTGCATTTGTTTTGCGATCACTGGACCAAACATTTGAGGCCTTCTCCATCAACAGAGGAAACATTTTTGAGGGGAAAAAAGGCTGCACTTGAAATAAGGAGGGACTAACAGAGCATTTCCCAATTCAAACTGATATCAAAGTCCACCGTTCACCTTCCTCTGCCAGTTATCTTTAATAGTTTTATCTGTTTTTTTCCCTCTGTGGGTTGCGTTCAGAGCCGCTGCCCCATGAGGCTCCACTGACGGCCGCTCTGGAGAACAGAAACAACATGTTGTGTGTTTGCATGAGGTGTTTCCAAAACTGTTGCGTATTTAATCTCATGCTGCGTGTGACTAACTAGCTACTTAAAAAGGGGAACTGTTTGGTTTGTTGAATGCTCCTCAGCTCTCTTCAAAGAGTCCTAAATGTGAACTTTGTGATTTTTTTCTATAAATAACAGTCGCAAAATGTCCGTCGAGTAACGGAGGAAAATAGTTACGACAGTGTAAAACCACAAAATGTAACTTTGAACTTCTAGACGTTTTTTAATAACATGTGGCCGTGTTTACTGTTTTTTCTAGTTGACTACTAATGTATGATGTTGTGTACAAGTGGGACTACTATGTTTAATTTCTTCTTATTGTACAGTTATTTGAAAGGAGAGAGTAAGAGGAGAATGGGAGGAAAGAGAATTAGTTGCACTATAGTCTATGATATTGTCATTAAACGTTCTGTCGAGGCTGGAAATTCACTTTCACTTCAGCCCATAATTAACATTTATTAATTTATATAAAAATGGTTAAACGCGCATTACTTTTTAATAAACTAAATCACTGCAAATGTAACGTCTTTCTGGAAATTTAAAATCAGCAACTGTGAAAAGGTCACACGTCTATTATTAAGAGGCCTAATTGAAAAAGATGGTTGTTGTGTCATTAGCAAATTATACTATTTGAATTGAAAGTGAATTAATTAGTTAATTTATTTGTCTTAATGTGGTTAGATCAATTTAACATTACCTGGCACTGTGGAATATCGACCTAAACAGAAAGCATTTCAGATTTATGATGTGACCCAACTGTGTGTGTGTGTGTGTGTGTGTGCGTGCGTGTGTGTGTGCGTGCGTGCGTGCGTGCGTGTGTGTGTGTGTGCGTGCGTGTGTGAGACCATGGGATATTGTTTATTGTGTCTTGGTGAACTCAACAACTCTTAACCCAGAACCTCCTGAGTAATGACCTGCTCTGAACTCAACACACATTTCAACTAAAGGAAGAACTCTTTGAGGAGCAATAACAAAAGTGATGATAAAGCTACATTCAGTCAAACCGTTGTAGAGTTACACAATATCTAACTATAATATTTGAAATATTTTGAAACTATGTATTTTGCTATTTATTCAAGTCTGAAATTGAACTTTTATGAATTGAATTCAGAATTGTCAGCTATCCCCAGCCCTATCACTAATGGGTCTGAAAGTATTGCCAATGGTGCTTGTATAATTGGTTTACTATGGGAATACATATGGAAAGAGAAAAGAGGTATTAAGTCAATAATTTGCAGTACACGATTATGCACGAGCTAAATAATTGTCTGGGACCCACGAATGAACCCTGTGGTACTCCACCCAGCTTAGTTTCTTAATTTAGCAGGCTGGTGCTAATTGTAGATAGCATAAATGCATGAATTCACGATTTGTAAAAGTGCTTTTCATTTAATCTGCGATTAATATAAGTCAGCTCTCAGAATGCAATATTACATAATCCTAATACATTAAGAAACAACCCCACTGTCAGTGCTGTAATGCAGGATTATGCTGCTAGTACAACCAGTGGAAAAAAACTGCAATCGTCCTCTGTGGCTCTGGGTTGATTTGTTAACGTTCACCACTGACTAGAACCATTTACGTTGATTTACCTCATCTTGTTCTGATGGTTTCCCACAGGTGACTGACTGTACATAAACTAGACAGTTGGGAATAAAGTAGACAGTGAAGAAGTCAAGTCTACACTTGTGTCCTCTGTTTTCTGGCACCTTGCAGAGATATTTTGTCCTCAAGAGATTTATGCCTGCTACATTATGCATGCAAATGACAAAAGTATTGACTGTCTGAATTTTTTTCTAGTGGTTGGGGTTGTCTCTGTTGTCCAGCCAAGTGGTTTCCAGGTATTTCAGTTCTGAGAAAAATGCACTTTCTAAAATGACTGAAATGAAGCCAAATCTTTCCCCCTCTGAAACAAGAGCCTTGCTGAAAGACTGCTGCAGGCAAAATCCAAATCCTGATCACAGACATCCTGACGAGGACATCAGTGTCTCCTTCACTACACACACCCAGATCATTGCCAGGAAGCACTATTGTTCCTTTGCTGAGGAAATATACCGGTGCTCTGAGGTAAATAAATTGTTATGAGAATCTGAATAAGAGTGTTTAAATAAAACAAGACACAAATACCCAATTAAGACTAAAAACATTTTGAGTGTGTGTGTAAAACTCTCGATATAGATGCACTCTGCTGAGTTCCTGATAAGAATAAACACTCACGGTTGGAAGTAGTTTAAATATTTATTCGTAGACGGCACACCATCTTCACTTTTTGGTCTGCTTAGTGAGGAACTACACACTCTTGAGAACGCCTGATGACTTTTTTGTTTATAATGTAATAAGCAGAGACTCGCACTTGTGAAGGTTGTTTTTAACATTGCTGGCATTCTCCACTAAAACCAAGTGGGGACACCCAGGACAAGCAAACTAATTGCTGTGGCTGTGTGGCCTATGGTATTAATTAGGAGTTGTAACAGACCTAACAACCCATTTTACAGGCACCCTGGTAACGTTTATTTGAAAGCTGTGCCAACACCGCCTCAGTTAAAAGTGTGTCAGTCCAAATTACTTTCATTGTTCTCCGTTCAAGTGTCACTTTTCCATCAAATATGAAATGTGATCTGGTTTAAAAGGGAAAGTTACAGAGTAGATGAGAATCAAGTGATGCAATAGAAAGTAATAAATCAACAGCCTTTCAAATACTGTGTGTATCCTAGGATTGTCTAGCTGCTACTAGTACCACTAGTGAGAATAAAATCAGCTAAAATGACAGTTAAAAAATGTGATTTTTCTCTGTCATTGTCCTTCAAGTAGAGGAACACAGTGTTAAGCTCAAGGTTAACGTCTGGGCCACATATGGCAGACGGCTTCATTGATGTGACTCAACAAAAACCTTATCACCCATTTTAAAACTGCAGTTCCAGTCAGAATTCAGAATCAGAATCAGAATTCTTTTATTTGCCAGGTATGTTTGCACATACAGGAAATTGCCTTGGTGTCATTGGTGCACTACTTATGTACATAAAACAACAATATAAAAAACAACAATATGTAAGAAATTGAATAAAATAAAATAGAATAAAATAAAATAAAGAATATACATATATACAGTCATACCCACACCACCTACAGCCAAAACACAGTAAGTTGTTTATGTATGAGACCACCACCTTTACAAGGGGCTACTACTTGTTAGAATTTGGTTTAGGTTAGGATTGGGGTGAGGCCAGTAATAACGATGGTTATGGCCAGAAATGACCTCTGAAGTCAGGGAAACACTACTGTTTGTGAGCGCACAGATATCTTTAAAGGGACCATTCTGAGCCCAGACCTTACAGAGTAAGAAAAGTGGGGATATTTTGTCTGGTCCTAACTTTCTAACCCTAACCGTAGCTTAAGGGGTAAGGTTATGCATTTACTTGTGATGGTTAGGATTAGGTTCAGGTTATGTTCAATTAAGTACAAGGTTGTGTGTGTTGACCAAAATGTACTCGTTCATGTAGCACATCTACATGCCTCCATACTGCTCCTGTGGTGTCATCCAAGTGTGAGCTTGTGTGAGAGCTTGTGTGTGCATGAACGGCTCCGGGGTAAGAAGACATCAGAGGAACTTTAGACTAAAAACATGGCGTAAATGATGCTGTTCCTAATTTGAATTTGAATTTCGGGGCTTTCGAACATTTGGATGACACCACAGGAGCAGTTTGTTTGTATGTTTTTACGTTTGGAGAAGTGGTCACCAGTAACTTCAATATATTGGATTCGGCTGCAACGCTGTTTACCCCTGAAACTCCAAAAGTGTCTGGTGAACTCAATCACTTCACCCACCCCTCCACCTGCATAGTGGTGAGTAGGTAATGAGTGACTTCTCATTTTTTGGGGTGAACTATTCTTTGAGGCCCTTATCACAGTGTAGTTTACACACCGTGCCTGGGGGTGTTTATGGCCCCTGTGGACCCGGGTGATCTCTCTGTCTAATCCAGCTTCGGCCACACTCCAGGCACGAGTACATCCTCAGTGACCCCGGGTCTGCTGCAGTCACCGTGACTCCACCACTAGGCTTCCCCTCGGCCTATCGCTGCTCTCCCGCATGCTGACGCCGAGACCCGGAAGTGCCGCCGTCGCTGCAGCTGCTTTGTTTTGTTTTGGTTGTCGGAGTTGTGTAAGAGAGCGACAGGCGGAGTTCGGTCCGGGAGAGGGACACTCTTCAGATGGGGAGAGTCCAACCGGGGATGGAAGATGACGGACCGGTAGCTGACGCCTGCGGGATGCCGAGTTTCATCAGCAGCTTCGAGGAGGAAGGGAGGGCGAGACTGTCCCGCAGCCTCGAAACTTCCGTCGCGGACGGCAAAGTTGAGCGGCCGGTCGCAGACGAGCACCGCGGCGTCGGCAGGTCAGACTCCCGGTTGTCGCTCGACGGAGGCGGCGGAAGGAGCGGCGGCGGCGACGAGGGGAAGGATGCGGGGGGCAACAACAACAACAACTGCAACGGAGGAGAGAGGAGGAGGAGGGCGAGTGCCGTGGAGATTTTGAGGAGGAATTTCGGGGTCGTGAAATCTCCCTCCCTCCGGTTCACCGCTAGCAGGCGGATGCAGGAAAACAACGACGGTCATGGAAGCGAGTGTGGCGACTGCAAAAAGTCGGACGTAGAAACGGGCGACGCGGGGATTAAAAACGAGCCAACCCCGAGCGAGTTGACCACTTTGGATGCACATGCGGTTCAGTGGCATCGAACATGTGACAGTAACACTGTGAGTGTAGAGGAGACAATCACTGTCAAACCACATGTCTACTGCACTGTTTACTGCATCGCCAACGACGTGCACCGCAATGAATCCGCGCACCGCCGCGACGATGAGGCGGACGCACCTGACACTCCGAACCCGGGCTCCGAGAGGGAGCAGGAGGCGGGTTCGAGTCCGGAGCCGCCGCTGTACACGCTGGACGACCTGGTGGACCCTTTTGGGGACATTTCCCACCAGTTGTACAAGGATCAGGACGGTGCGGGGAGCGCGGTGCAGGGCTGCCGGGTGTGCCTGGAAGACAAAACCATCGCGCCCTTGCTCTGCTGCAGGATGGCAGTGTGTGATGAGTGTTTGAAACTCTACGTCAGCTCCCAGGTCGGTGTGTGTGTGTGGGTGGGGGGGCAAAGTTGTGGAAAGAGGATGATACAGTATATAATGCAGCAAGATGTGTGTGTGTGTGTGTGTGTGTGTGTGTGTGGAGTAAAGATCATAATACAGTGTATTATGCAGCAGGATGTGTGTGTGTGTTGGTGGGGGGGCAAAGTTGTGGAATGAGGATGATACAGTATATAATGCAGCAGGGTGTGTGTGTGTGTGGAGTCAAGATCATGATACAGTATATTATGCAGCAGGGTGTGTGTGTGTGTGGGTGTGTGTGTGTGTGTGTGTGTGTGTGGAGTCAAGATCATGATACAGTGTATTATGCAGCAGGATGTGTGTGTGTCCCAGGTTGGTAAGAGGGATGATGGACAAAGTGGTGGGGTGTAGACAATACAGCGCAGCATGGTGTCGCAGTGATATGTGTGTGTGTGTGTGTCCCAGGTTGACTTGTCCTTCACCAGCGAGTAACACACACATACACTATCGTCTCTGTTACACTTTCATGTCTTGTGTTTGCCATCTTGTTTGCCCCAAGGCAGGGGCATGACTGTGAATTCAGAGAAGTCTGGAAAAATACTGATCCCTCACCAACAAGCTGACACCACATGTTTCACTTACTTACGGAAAAAAAATACCTGGATTAAGAGTTTGAAGTTCACTGTTTGCTGATAATTAGGACAAATGTGTGTGATTATGACTAATGCCTCAGCTCAACATCTGCAGGTCTCCTCATCTTGTGATAAATGTTGTTTACGAAGAATCTGGGTCACAGACACATTCTGCACTAAAATTCAGACCCTGGCAGGAATGTTTTTCACAACAGCACACTTTTTGTGTATGCGTGTGTGTTTTTGATATTGGACTTATTCAGAAGAGTTTGCTCGCCCGATGCTCAACTATTTAAGGAAGATCCCCCCTACTCAAATGCAGCACTGTGTACTTCGTCTCGGCTGTCCTACTGCATTACCTACATATCTACTGCATTGACGGAAAACCTTTTGTTAATGCAGTTTGTAAACAATGCTGAAAATGTGCATGAGCATCCCAGCAGCGTGTTTTAGGCACAGATAAAAAGAGAAGCCCCAATGAGGCTCTGTTTTCACCCCTGTCCATTTGTTTGTTTGTTGGTCTTTCCACAGGATTACATGAAAACTATGAAAACAGATTTCCACAAAACTTGGTGGAAGAATGGGACAGAGGCCAAGAAAGAACCCATGACATTTTGATGCAGGTCCAGAAATAGTTTTTCATTTTCTTTAGAGTTGTGAGACAGGACGTTTTTCTCAGTAAATAATTGATGAACCTTGGAAAGAATATCATGTAGATCTATAAGGAATGCAGCAGGAGATTGTCCATGTAAGATGTCTTCAAAGCAACATCGCAATCGGCCCTGATCGCCAAAAGCTCTCAAATCTCACTGTCTGTACAAGTTGATATTTGTCGGCAGCCTTTACATGTGTGGAATCTCTTTTTTATCCTGAGATTTATCTATTTGTTTCTCTCAGTTTTCCGCCTGTCTCGCTTTCTCGCTGTAAATTTACAGGACATTTTCCTGCTGTATTCTCACACGGGTTCACTCTGAGCTTTTCTGGACATTTTACTTGCAGGAGCAGTTCGTGAAAATGTCTGAAACAACTGACATGTGCATTCTCACGTACAACCCTTCCAGAAAAAAAAGACATTTCTGGAGTTGAGTGCATTTGTGAAAGCAGCTTATGAAAATGCAATTTGGTGCAATTTGATTGAATTTAAGGGGAATGTTGGACCGTGGCGGTGGCATGTGCTCAACTGAGTGGCATTTTAGTTGTTTGGTCAGTCTAAAGGAGACAGCATGCCTTGTAGCTACAATGCCTTCTGGTGGAAATTGTTAACTGGGGAGGCAGTTTCTTCCACTGTGCATGACTTTTGAATATTGATGAATATTGATGAGTAAAGAGTCTGGTCAGAGATCTTATCCATTGATCCTGGTGATGAACAAAATTAATAATTGATAGATAAAACATTTATCTTAAGTGTAGCTGCCATGGAAAAGGGTGTAAGCAGTGAAAGGCACTTTTCCAACTGCTGCCTCCCACTGCAGCTTAAGTGTATCATGATGGATTTTTATTTTTTTAGTATTTAAGTGCCTTGTTCGTGAGCTGGTGCAGTAATCGTCTTTAACCTGTTTTGATAAAACAGTGAACTACTCTATACTTGCTATGCATGGGTGATCATACATACAAACACAGAGACAGTCTCTGTGATGAGTACACTGAGGATGAGATAAGGGTCATGTAAACTCTCCTGTGTAGTTGGAATCTGTTTCTCTTCATGTGCGGCACACACACTCAGTGTCAGCACTCAGTAGGTACAGTGAGTGTGACATCAGAGAGATCACAAAATGTGTAGTGGGGATGGAGCACTTTGCTCCAGGGCACGTTGGCAAGGAGGGCAGGCAGGACATGCATCAGGAGGTTGGAGTGCACTGGTTTACTTCTTATTGTTCTGCCAGAGGTTAAATCATAGACTGTATAAAAAGATGGACTATGCATTATCCTCCACTGCCCCGAAACTAAGCCAAAATATATAATGCTGCCTTCTTGTGCATTAGCAGACAGAGTCTACGCAGTCGCAGTCTGTCGATGGAGCTATTGTAGCTAGGTCTTGTCGATACAAGTGCTCGATGAGTCATGAGTCCATCACAGCTGTCAATCATGACATTTCACCCTGTTTTTATAGCATCAAATAATTATTTAAAACTAAACTTACCAATAATCAGCACTTGAACACACATTAGTGTGATAAGAGCTACCCAAAAATATTTGAAGTGTACTTTGACTTTTTAGTTTGGTTCATGTCCCATACACTAACATGGAGGAGGCAGGATTTATGACACATACTGCAGTCAGCCACCAGGGTGGTGATTGAGACGCTTTTGGCTTCACTTGGGGAGAAGTCATGCCGTCCATCTTTATTGAGGATTAAAGCCCAGTCACTAATGAGGCAAACATAATTGCTGAGGTCCTGGTTAAGGTTAGGGATTAGATGTTAATTATAATTTGGTTAAGGTTTTGGTTTGGACTGGACGTTATTAAAATGTCCTAATAAGGATAGCCACACTAACTCGAGTGTGTCATAGAGAGAGAAGAGTGGAGGCGTTGCTGTCTAAACCTGTCCAACCAGTCAGGCTGTGGTCATCACAGATCACAACGTGTGCCAAGTGTTATGGCAACATTAATAACACATCAGTTCTCATGCCTGCAGAGGATATGTTTTCATAATCAGGGAATAGTCTTTGGGTGTGTGCACGTGCTGCAGGGGATATAGATATAACAACGTCAAAGGTGTGGTGCTTTGGTTCTTTGCTTTCTGTTGTCACGTCACACATACTGACAAAATACCTTTTGTGAGCAAAACAGGTCGTTCTGGCTTTGAGGATCAGAAAGTGTTGGGAGAGAGAAAATAAAACAGAAAGACAATATGAAAAACATTGTTTAATTCCATTTTTATTCATAACAATTGTGTCCCTGTGTGACTCAGTCTTCTGTTCAACTGCTAATCCTTCACTCCATTCTTTGGTAAATTATTAACCATTTTACATCAGTGGTGTGAACATATTCATGTAGCACTGGTGCTGATAGTCCATCTCTGTATCAGAGAAAACCACCACACAATGGAACAGTTGGTGTTGCTAGACGCACACTGATTCTAAATGTGAAACGTGTGTTATATCTTTTTTAACCTCGCATTTATTTCATGTTGAAAGTTTAATGCACATACACACTGCAATGGTTTCATTTTCAGTTGCTATCAGTCACCCTTTCTGTGACGTTCCTCCAGGTGCGAGTGGCCAAACCTCACATTAGCTGTCCGATCCCGGAGTGCAGTGGCTACCTGAAGGAGAGCGTGGTGGTTTCCCACTTGACCAATGAGGATGTGGCCAAATACCGTTACTTCCTGGAGTTGAATCAGCTGGATTCGAGCACCAAGCCGTGCCCCCAGTGCAGTGGCTTCACCTCTCTGAAGAAGCACAACAACCAGTCCGAGCACAAGTACAAGGTAAGAAGACGGTTACGATACACACACACTGCCACCTGCACAGAGCAGAAGATTTAGAAACAGTGAAATAAATGAAATTAAACACAAACAGCTGATATATACCACCTACTAAAGTAATAAAAAGTAATCTAGGGGTGCTGCATAGCTGTGTCACTCCCCTCTCTCTCTCCCTTTCATGTTAAATCTGTCCCATCAAATAAAAACAAAACATGCCCAAAAAGCATCTTTAAAAATGGAAATCTGAGCATGAGTCTGCTGTCTTCTGTCCTTACTGTAGATTCAGTGTGAGAATTGCCAGTTTGTGTGGTGCTTTAAATGCCACGCGCCCTGGCACAATGGCCTCAAATGTCGGGACTACAGGAAAGGAGACAAACTGCTACGAACGTGGGCAAGTGTCATCGAACATGGACAAAGAAACGCCCAGAAATGTCCACAGTGCAGGGTAAGAACCAGGGATCATTTCTGGGGGGGGGTCACCAGATGCTTTTGGAGAAAAAAATACAAACAATATAGTGGAAATGAAATGACTGATTTCAGAATGGGAATTGTTTTCACATTACATTGTCTGTACCAGTGAAACGATCTGCTCCAGAGTGATTTATAGTGAGTGTGTTTGTGTGCTTGGACAAGTTCTGGACATGTGTCTGATTGTACTGGTGGGTCGTGACTCTAAAAGGTTGGGATACAAGCTTGTATGATGCTGTTTTTATGCTGTAGAGCTATGTATTATGGTTGCTGGCTGTTGCTGCAACAGAAGGTGGTCTGTAAATGGAAAGGGAGTTGACTGATGGAGCGTGGAATCAGTGTAGATGAATAAATCGATGAAGGTAAAGAAGCATTAAAAGCAGGACCGGGTGATGGATGGGGCGCTGTAGAGCTGGGGATTTAAAGCGCATGGGCTGCAACAGATCCCAGACGCACAGATAATGTACATATTGGAAAAATAATAACATCTGTTGCTGCACAGAATCACATCTGGTCGACTGTCACAGTCACAAACCCAGCCTGGTCTTACCTCTCAGTCTCATTAGAGCCAAGTGAGTCTACATTATCTAATGTGACTGTCAGAAGATGAGAAAAGGAAGGCAAGAATCAAGCTCATTACCGGTACATGGGAAATGTTTGCTCACAGGAGCAAACGCCCTCCATCTGTGTTTGTCACACCGCGGCTCCCTGTCCCTGAATTCCTGCTCTGGAAGCAGAGAGAGAGGATTTAACTGTGAAGCCGACAAATTGGTGTCAGGCTGTGTTTGGGTGGGGGGAAAAAAAAGAGGTGGAGAGCAGCTACTGGAAGACAGCTCAGTGATACAGCAGCCAAGAAGCGAAGATCCATTAGCTGAGCTGCTGCGTTCATGCTGCTGTGTCCTTCAATTGCTACTGAACCTGAGTCTTTTAGTTTCAAATGTGGAAACAAGAAAAACAGCTGCCAGTGTTGCATTCAAATGTCAACCAAGTTCCGAAATTGTACCATCATTGTGTTTTTATCTCTTTCCGTTTCTAGATCCATATACAGCGTACAGAGGGATGTGACCACATGACATGCACACAATGTAACACAAACTTCTGTTACCGCTGTGGGGAGCGCTACCGACACCTTAGGTGAGACACTTTCTTTCTTCCTTGTTTTTTTTTCTCTTGCTGCCACTCTTCTTTCCCGCGGCTCAGATTTGATTTCCACTGTCTTTATTCGGCAGGTTTTTCGGGGACCATACTTCGAACCTCAGCGTGTTCGGCTGCAAGTATCGCTATCTCCCCGATAAACCTCATCTGAGACGGCTCATCAGAGGCTCCGTCTGTGGTATGTTGGTATATTTTGTGCTTGTGGTTGGGGGAAGTGAATCTGGGATCTGCACCTTGAGAAGCTTTTTATTTTTCTTAGCATTCTGTCAGATATATTGAGATTTACACTTATACGGCTAATGTCTCTTCTGTTATTACCTGCCGATTTGTTTTTATTAAGTATAATAGTTTTAACAAAGCATCAAAATGAGTGCAGTTGACGAGTTATGTGTCATTAAATAGGGATAAATGTTTCTTCATGTGTTAGATTATAAAAAAGACTAACGGCCCTATCTTACACTCTTTTGCTAGTTCCGAACTGATGCCGTTTTCATTTTCTCTGTCCAGCGTCTACATTGTTTAAATACCAAAATGCACTTGCACCCATCTGAGCACCCATGGGTGTGCTGTTCCTAAGATAAGGTGTGGTCAGGTGCAACCAATGGTGTGGAGAGGCAGTGGAAAGCAATTGCGTATTTGACTGAACCAACAACAACCCGGTCTGAATTTAACAACACAGTATTTCCCCTTTATTATAAGGAAGTATTATCAAGACTCACAGATGGTCTGACATGTATTAGTATGATGCTGATGTAAAGAAGGTGCATGGCCACCATCAACCAGAGTTTAATCTAAATCTAATGGACCACACGGTGCTTTCCTTAGAGCCACAGCTCGAGAATAGCTGAAAACAGCTATTTGCAAAACGTACTGTACGAAAACATTCTGTATGATATAGCTGCATCCTCAGAGAGCACATTTACGTCTGACTGTACTTGCGGAGGCCACCGAGGAAAGCTTTATAATGAAGTGTGAATGAATCACACACTGCATCAGATTATGTTATCCATAATTATCTTTTCACGTTTATCAAATGATTGCAGCAGCGAGCCTGCAGGAGTTTTAACTCCTCTGATAGATTTGTTTGACTCTGTTCTCCATGACAGCTACAGCTAGTCATACCAGCGGGAGCCTGTCGGACTGGCAGCTAATTTGCCCCCTAACAAGAATAATTTACCCATTATAGCTCTCATCGTGTCACGGAGTGTTAGCACCACAGATTTTACACTTCATATGAATGATTTGACTCTAACCTGCTCTGCACTCAGTAACTTCTGTGACTGCACACTGGCGACCAAATGTTAAAAAAACTCTGCAGGGATGCATTAAAATTTGAATACGATGCAACAACAAAATAAATCATTAAAATTGAACCATGCAATGTTTGTCCCAACTGAAAGAGCATGAAATCATTCTGAATGAGTCTCTGTCCACTGTCTGTTTCTCTCTGCAGCCACTAAGGTGCTGATAGCTCCAGTAGCCATTCTGCTGGTCGTGGTGCTGGGAGCTCTCGCACTGGTGATAGGTAACTTAACTACACACATGAACACACATGGGAAGTAATCAGGGGAAGAGCAGTAAACAAGATAACAGCGATATTTTGTTCCAACCAGTAACACGGCAACACTGTCAATGACATGTTTTTCAAAAAGAAACTAGAGCAGTGGCCATTGTAAACATATCTGTTGACAATGGGCCGATGGATGGATGATCAGACAGAAAGATATATGATGGTCCTATTGATGGATGGATGGATAGATAGATGGACATATAGATAGATAAAAAGATAGATTGTTTTTATCTTTCTTTCTCTCTGCATCTTTGTCTCTCTCTCTCGTCTGTCTCACTGACTTGTACTTGTTGCAGCTACAGCACCATCCAGCTGCCGACTCTTTCAGTCTTTTGAAACCATCGATGCCTCAGCTGAGCTGTAATTAGTGTTAACCTCTTTCCCGTGTCTGTGTCTGACAGATGTTCTGCCGAGGGCTAACATGCCGTGATGGCAGATTCATATTTGTTTTCATCGTTAATAGAATCAGCGTCTTCAATCCTCCCTCTCTTTCGGCTCGCTTAATTCGACATATGACAAATCTGTTTACAAGGCACCATAATATTGAATAATCAAATCAGATCCATCTGGAAATGTCGTGAGATTTTAACATTGATAGACATTGATAGATATCAGAAAAAAGCATATTCATACATTTTGCCTGGACCTTTACAAACACTGTGCTTGTCCGCAGGTTTGGTGGTTTTCCCCGTCTACTATGTGTGTAAGAGGAGGAAGAAGCAGCGCACTCAGGGCTCTGGACGGTGGATCTGAAACCTGCCGCCACACTGCATCCAGACCACGCAGCTTGAAACGACGACGCCCACATTTCCTCAGGGACAGACGTGCCAGGCTGAGTCATCGCAGAAGTATTAGAGGAACATCGGATATTGAGCAGTAAATGAGGACGAGGATAATCAAGCTGAAAAAGACGTAAAAACCCACACAAATGTAAGTTGAATTCTGGAGGAATCACTGTCTGGTCACATAACAGAGAACCAGTGTTAAAATCCCTTAAAACTTAATAACATTTCACAGCCATGAGGACTTTGCCGGACACGTCACTGTAAGTTTCAGCAGCGCACACATGCAGCTTTTCAGTCTCACATTTACCGCTGTCTTTCTGGAGAGCAAATCCAAACATAGGTAACCGACAGACATGTTTACGCCCGCACATGTGAGAATGCGTTGAAAGAGGATATGTTCGGTTACTGAAAGAGAACATTTTCAAGGAACACTCACTGCTGGAAGAACTGGTGAATGATCGGAGGCACTCGCAGGTGAATAATGCAGATAGAAAGGAAAGGAAGCACACACTGGAAAGTAGAAGAACTGAAGTCTGATGGTTTGGAGGATGATGCGACTCTGGTACTCTGGGTGGCTAATCCGGATAAAGCTGACTCTGCCTGAGCTCATGTTCTTGCTTGAAGACGTGAAAGTTGGTTTGCGTGGCTTTTTATAAACACAATTACAGCACCAGTGGGATTTTAGTGAACCTCCATTGTTCTCTGTTGAGGATTTCCATCAACTCCTTCCTCTTATGTGCCTCTGTCTTCCTCACTTTCTTTTCATTCTTCCTCGCTGGACGGTGGCTCACACACAGACACACAGACACACACACTCAAACAGATCACTATAGACTGGAGACCTGGAGATTTGCCCCAGTAACTCACACAACAATCAGCTTTTTCCCAAATGGGTGACACAGAAACACACACACACACACACACACACACACACACACACACACACACACACCCTCACCCTCCCGACCTGCCAGCTCCTCTCTATCGCACCGACATGCTGTATGCCAGTATCTGCATCATCAAAAAAAAAAAAAAAGCTAAGCTGCTGTGTGGTGATTGTGCCAAAACAAAACGCTGAACGTGGCAGGACAAACGGTCGACCCCGTCTCTTTGTTAGCTTAGTTTTTTTGTTATTTTTTTTTTAGGTAGCAGCCCTTTGCAGAGGTTTGGGTGGCGTCTCTCTCTGTGTTGTGGCGTCTGTGCAAGATCACGCAGGTTGCAGACGTGATTATGCACGAGGCAACTGGAAACCATTCAGAAGCACTTATGCAAAGAATTAAAATGACTGATCGTATAATTTTGCAAATGGTGCCTGTCGAAACACAGAATACAGTGTTTGAGGTTTTAATTTGCTTTTTTATTGTAGTGGGGAGGGTGGTTTACTGAAACATAAATAGGATGCTTGATTCTTATACACGAATATATATTTAATAGAATAGAGGGCGTTATCAGGTTGCTGTGCACTGGATATGTGGTAGATTTAGTTTGGATTTAAATTATAAGGAGGTCGGGTTTTCAAGCATTTCAAGAATCCATCTGAAAAGTTTGGGGTTTTCTTGATGTCTTTGGAAGGAAAGGAGGATTTCTGTTGGCTTGAGAGTTTGTATAGTGACATGGTGGTTTTTAACACACTCACACCTCTTAACTCATTTACACGCACCTAAGCAAGCTCACACAAGTGGCGCTGCCAGGAAGCAGGAGATTTTCAAGAGCTTTAAAGGTCGTCACCTGGCAGCAGCCTGTTCTCTGTCCTTCACTTTATCCCTCTGTCCTTTCCTCCCTGCTGTCATTCCTTCATTTATTGTGTTTCACTGCTTTTTCTCTGATCTCTCACTTTGCTAAACATCTATTGTCCACCTGGATTTACATCCCTCTGACCTCAGCTGTGAGAGGAGGCGGGGAGGATGCCAGTAACGTTACGAAAGGCTCTATTTTACAAGAGTAGGTGAACATCCACTGGAGCTGTGGCTGAAAAAGCTGGAGGCTCTGATATGTGGGGATAGCACAGAGCTACATGTGGTGCACGCTGCGGTCGAGCACAGAGGGGTTTGTTTTTATCCCATCACTTCATGGAGCTATCTTTTCTATGTTGCTCTTTGTGCACATTTTAATGGAGAGACTAGATGAAAACAGAAGGTTGAGGAAAAGCACAATATGTCTGCACAGTGAGTACAGTGATGAAAAAGTTATGGAGTGAGACAATGATGAAAGGTTGAGGAGGAACCTGCAGTGCATTTTGGTTAAGGCTGCACTGTTAATCATCTTTAAATCTTAATTCACACTTATCTGTGATCTCATTTTGAATTCTGCTGAATTTTACTTTGGGACATCAGCTGTATCAAAACAAGTGCTTCTACTTTTCCCCCCAAAGAATTTTAAGAGCCCCCGAAATGCGGCATTATCTATTCTTTCTCCCTCAGCCAATGACAATGCAGTGTCACGCCTGCGTGATGAAGAATAAAAGTAAAACAGCAGTGAAATAGACAAAGAAATCCCAGCTGAGAAAATTGTGATTCTCATTTTTCCCAAAATGCTGCAGCCCTAATGTTGCTCACCAGTTACAGGAATATGTTACAGAATGGTTCATCTCTGAATCCTCACTAAATCCAGGATTTAAGGTGTAAAGGAAAAGCAGGGTTGATGATGAAGTTGTGCACATGGTACATTTTTCCAGCTTCAGGGATCTGAAACCTTTTTCTACTGTCTAGTGCAGTGAAACTGTACATACAATGTTCCTGAAGGACAGAGAGTGAACTGCTCCACACTGATTTCACAAGAGGTTCTGAATCTGGGGTTTGAATGAACTCTCAGGGAGTCTGTTTTTTTCTGTTCACTCTCCGCACACACGAGCTGTGCCACAAAAAATAGCCAAGATTCAAAATGCTGACTGATACATTTACCTAGAGCTGCCTAGCAACTATGTTAATTCTAGGAAGTAAAAAAAGAAAGTCATCTTGTGTCAGCGTTTCTGCGGCCGTGTTGTGAATCCCAGACTGAAAACGGGAACTAGAAGAAAATGTGTTTTGATGAATCAGCACTGGGAAAATGAATGTGTAGGTTTTTTTGGCCAAACAAAAAAGCTGTTGTTGACTTGAAATGTTTTATCGCCTAATGTGTTGTATCTAACTGCTTATTTCGCACGACACTGACATGTTGGTTTGATTGACATGTGACTGAAGCATGTAGCGTGACGGATGTTTGTACTTTTGATTGTTTGCAGTACAGGGAAATGTATCAGCAGAGGGAAACCAGGTGAATTTACAAGAGGCTGTTTTTTTTTTTTTTTTAGGACTTGAACACAACATGTTACCAAAAGGAGTTGTGCCCAACCTAGAGATGATTTATCTTGTGATCATTGCCAGAAAATTTCACAAAAAACACATCATTTGCTCTGCAGCTTTCCGTGAGCATGAGTTTACTGTCACAGTTATGAATGTGTTGCATCTATTTAGCTGCAGGACAAATGTAAATGATATGGTTTTCTAACACTTTGGTATTTGTTACAGTTCATCCACCCAGATCTGATGTCCTACTCTTCTGTTCATGTCTGTTCATGCTTTAGAATTCTGCCCACTGATGCAATGTAAAGACTTATCACCGCATATTACTAACTTCAACACCGACATGAACAATAATTTTGGTTGAAGCTTTACATGCTAAAAAAAAAAAAAAAGCTCTGTGTTGTTCCCTCAGTGACCTGAGAGTTGTTTTAGCCCGTTAGTTTTCTTTGCCAGGGTGTATTGGCAGGCTGATGCCCCTGGTTCTTTTTTAGTTTGTGTTCCAGTCCCAGTAATGTTTGCGTAAATATGCAATGGTGCCTTCACAGCCATTATTGATCAGGGTTTGACAAGCTGTGGTTCAGGTTGAAAATGGGAGTCTAATCTATCACAGCTAGGCCATGGAAGAGTTGTTTTAAGAGGAAAGCTGAAGACCATCTTGTGATGAGACACCCGATGTTCCAATCCATGAGTTTTATAGTATATTTAATGATTACTCAGTACTAATGGGTTGGAGCTTTCTAATCTTTAAACACTTCATTTGATCTAAATTACACACTGATAAAGATTCACACCTGCAGTTGTGATGCTCATGACAAAATCTGTCAACGGACACACTGACTGAAACAGCTGCTGAATGGCACACACACAAACACATAGGACAAAAACTAAACCCACCATGTTGTTGCATTTGTTATGTAGAGGTGAATCTCAATAAATCTGAATATCGTGGAAAAGTTCATTTTTTCCATTATTTAATTCAAATTATTTTTTTATAGAATATATTCTAGATTTATTAGACAAAGAGTGAAATATGTCTTTTGATTCCAATTATTACGGCTCACATCTCATCTACATAAAAATATTTGAATATTCCTAAAATCAATCCAAACAGGATTCATAATAATGTCAGGCAGGTTGGCCGGCCAACCAAGCACCGTAATATGGTCCGCAAACCAGTTCGTCTAGAATATACACATTTTTCCTTTGTTAAACTGCTGTTGAAAAAAATACTGAACATTTTCAAGATATTTGAACTTTTTTGAGATGCACCTCTACTTTAGAAGTCTGGACTCCAAATTTAAGAGAACAGTGAATGGAACCATTGTTTAATACAGCCGTCAATCTGTTAACCAGCACAGAGCAATGTCCAGGTCGATCAGGCTTTTTGATAACTGTGTGATTTATCTTGATAAAACTAGAAATTCAAAGAAGAAACCTAATGTCTACATCCAGGATGAAACTTTCACCTGTGGCTCATACTAACCTCACTGTTTTGACTGTTTAGATTAAAAGGAGGAAACACCCTCCACATTAAATAGTTGCCATCGGGCTGGTTTGAGACTAACACGCTTAGTGAGGATGGTGATTAAACCAAAAAGATGCGTCATTTGCAGGAAATCAAATGTCCATTTCAAGACAATCACACAGAGGAATTTTAACTCAGGAGGCCTGTTGGTGTTCAGTTTGCAGTACTCAGTGTACTCGCTGAAAAAAACAGAATCTTATTTGTACATGTATGACACTTTTAATCAAGGGTGTTTCTATACAGAGAAATGCCTTAAACTTGATGTGAGTGCTCTTTGTTTGCACCCAAAACCCACATTCTTCCACCTGCTGCCACTGATAATCTGTCTGCTGATATTATTATTATTACTGTTCACTCAGCCAGGCACGACGATCTGACGGAGAATAAATACAACTGGATCAAAGTGTCTCAGTCTGACTTATTTAATGTGAATATATGACACCACAAAAACAATAGTTTATTGCTTTTATTATTTTAGTATTTTTTTTAGGATATTGAGTGTATGTGGCCTTCAGTATAAACATCTGTAGGTCTGTCACCATGTCTCTCACCAGTCTCCCTCTCTATCTGTGACCACAATTGTGACTACAGTTTAATGCCAACAGGGGTCGCCATTGTACCATAGGAGCCCATTACCTTGATTTCTAAATTGAACAATGAGTGCATTACAAGTATATACATTGTAACAGAAAAAAATTATTTTATTTGATTAAAAAAATAAATAGGGTATTTACTGAATAAAAATCAAAAGGATAATACTGATTGAATCTCTTTCTTTGCTTATTGAATAGGATATGTTTGCACTGTGAAGGAGTGGCTCTATAATTCAATGTACACCCTGTTCAATGACAATAAGGCATTCTTATTCTTATTATTCTCATTATATTTTTAACAGTATTTATTAATGATGAGGGCTGCATACACAAAGCAGTAAATATAAAGTTTAAAAGGCACCAATTTCTGTAATTTCTAATATATATATTTCCATAAAAATTCCTATGTAAGTATTTTCAGCTTATACCATTTTATTATTACAATTCAGAACAAACTTATGCTGCAACATCAATGTTAAACTTAGGTTTGACACTTTAGTACATGCACACCTATAATAAACTTTCCATTTTTAGTAAACTTGAATTCAGGACATTAAACTTTTACATTGGCAAGTATCGCTACTTTTATAGATAAGGTGAGATTTGCCATTTTGCTGCAGCATAAGGGGATAGTGAAATACACACTCAGTACAAATAGAATAATAACAAATAGTAAAGTAAATAGTATGTACAATGTACACAGAATATATATCTTTATAGCTAGATATATATTCTAAAGATATATATTCTGTATATATAGTATAAAAGCGTGAAAAGTGAAATTGCACAGTTGCACATATGATATTTAAAATTACACATATATAGATTTTAAATTGCACAGTTACATTGGTTAAAACCCTGAGTGAGATATATAAAGTGCATGTGGTCGACAAGTGTAAATACATGACTGACTTCCTCCACCAATGACAAACAACAATTAAAAAGTGTGTAGTTCCGCCTCGTGAGGAAACATGTCCGGAACATTCAACCAAACAAATTACAACCGAGCGATCTGATTGGCTCGCGCGCAAAGCTCCGCCTGGGGAAGCTGGGGCAGCGCGTGACCCCCGAGCAGAGCCGAGTAAACCCGAGCGGTGATAAATACTCATCGAGCCACCGAGCCGGCTGCAGCCGTGCACTGCCTCCCTGTCTGTGTCTGTCTCCCGAGGATATCAGAGGAGTCCACCTGCCTGTGTCTGAGATGGAAACCAGGCAACAAGGTGAGACACTTTGTTTGTTTGTTTGTTTGTTTGTTTGTTTGTTTGTGTAACAACAACCTGACATTTCCTGTTGGCTGCACATTGAGCTGAGGTCTGAGAAGAGTGGACAGAAAACATGCATTGACCCGAAGTGACGTGAACTCATGATTTAGATTCCTGCAGTTTTTCTTGTGTCATTTGTGTTGGGAAGTGTGTTATTTGTTGTAGCTTCCACACACACACACACACACACACACACACACACAGTAAGTCAGTGTGCAGCAGCAGCACGAGCACCATGAGGTTTGTGTTACTGTTCATTCAACATGGAAACTCCAGAGCACATCCAGTCCTGTGGCTACTGGATACTGTTTCCTGGCTCTGATACTATCTGCAGCTCTAATGCACGAGTTTCCAAGTATTTCTGGTATTTGTTGCAGACAAACACACACACTCACAATTTCCATTGCATTCTGAAATCAACTAAACACTCACATTGTCTCCAGCATCTTTAAGCTTATTCTAACAATCCAAAATAGCCTGTGATGGTTAAATATTTAATGTGAGATTTATTATTGTCTATAATAAAACAGTAAGTGTTTTTTTCTGTTCATATAATTCATCCTGAGGAGATGTGACTCCAGGCTGTAGTTTAAATTGGAACAATAATATCTTGTATGAATGTTATTTTTTAAAATCTACATGTAACCTACTTTGTATGTGGATGGATTTTGTTATAGTATGTGTGGAACTGCCGATATGATTTGTGTTGATACAGCTGAGAAGGAACTCAACTCAAATGTTACTGGCATCCGAAACTATGAACTATGAAACTGTGAAGCATGAGTCAGAAAGCGATCAAGTTAGGGCAACAACTCAGTCAGTGGAGTAAAGGTTTGCTTTTGCATGTGGTCAAATGGTTTATTTGCATTCCAGGTCTGAATGGGCACCTGTGTTGTAGCCAGCAGGTCGGCGCTGAGGCTTTGAGGCCAGAGATGGAGCGGGAGGAAAAGATTTGCATTGTTCTGGAAATTGGTTTTATGGGAAAATTGTAATCAATGTATTAGAGAAGATTTAAAAGCTCCATGAATTCAACTCTTTTTTTTTTCAACCTCGCCATGCGGACCCAAAAGGTTTACACACCCTATATTCAGTATGTTGGCCGTTCTACAGGTGACCTGGCGTCCGGTTTAGCCTCAATTGATTTTGCAGCCATATGACCAACCCCAGGCCTCTGATTTATGCACATGACCCGTGGACCAAATAGGAATCTTGTGACCACAGATATTCCACCCCAGACAAAAAGAAGGGGGGGGAGAGACATGGAAACAAGAGTAGAGAAAGAGAGAGGAGGATGGGTGTTATGATACATGTGAAATATTCTTCTGTCGATTAAACAGCAAAACAGATGATAAATGAAATGTACCAGTGGTGTGATCAGTACTCTGCCATCCTTCATGCTTGTTTTACACTGAATCCTGTTTAAGTTCGACTGTGGAACCAGAAGGAAACGAGAATTATTGAAACAGCTCTGCTCTTGTGCGGATCTGCTTCCTCCTGTGCTGCCTGTATGGTGTAATGAGATTTCATCAGCTTCCCCCGAGAATTGCTCCATATGCTCGGCTATTGTGGCTTAATTGTTTGATAAAGACTCAAAAGATCCCATTGTTAACACTGACAGTGCAAGTTTTAGTGTGCAGGAATTGAATGTATCCTGTTTGACGAGCTCAGAGGAGTTCAGATCTCTGCCACAAAGGGTCAGAAGTCAGATTTCCTGTTCCTCCACAAATGCAGAGTCAGATAAGGCGCCTGCACCAACTACCACAACAAAACTGACAAAACTGGACTGGCACTGAGTCGAGCGCTGTTTTCTTCTTCTTCATCAAGATCCATAAATTATTCTCTGGGAAATTGGTGGAAATGTTGAAAAATCTCGCCATGTTAAATGAAGTGGGGAAAAAATAGGTTCAGGATCCAACCTCTGATCCTGATCTGCACCAACATCTAATGGGTTCTTACCTGCGTCCTTCCACCAAGGTTCTGTTGAGTTGTTTTTGTGTAGTCTTGCTTATAAATACCTACAAACAAGTGGACAGGGGTGAAAACATAACCTCCTTGGTGGAGGTAGATGTGATCCATTTACTGGCAGGGCTGGGATGGACCTGATCCCACCCTTGTGTGTGTGTGTATGTGTTCGATAACCAGTTTTTTGTCTCCTCTCTGCCCTGCTGCCTTGCCTCTGCTGCAGAGCTGTACTCTAGTGTTCTGAGCGAAGAAGCAGTGGTGGACTGGGGCAGCATGGGTCCCGGAGAGGAGTGGGTTAACTCAGCCACACACGAGGGAGAGCAGGGTAAGACTCAACTCTCCCAGCAGCTGAAAAACATAAATCCACACCGCATCACGTGGAGCAGAAAAATGCAGCTTCTGCGCACGGATCATGGCTCAGGAAGTGACATCACAAGACAGTGTGTGACGTCGCTATGTTTTTATGTATACGTCAGTGCAGCAGCTTCTTTCTGTCTCATGTGACAAAGTGTTGATTTATGTGCTACGAGTCAGGAGAGTGGTTGAGTGTGGTCTGAGTATTTCTCTTTCAAAATAAAACAGGGAATCTACTTTACGTGTTCATTTCCGTGACACTTTGCTGGGACCCTCTGCAACATATGTGATGTTTGAAAGACATGATTCATTATTACTTTTTCCAGGAGCTGAGACCTCTTTATTTTTAAACCCACTAACCAGATTTCATTCTGATCCGAGAAACTTCCTGCTGTAATCTCAAGCCCGGTTCCATTCGGCTCAAAACCAGAGTTTGCTCTCTTTCATCAGTGAAGCTAAAACTTCTTCCCATGAGAACTCACTGTTTGTAAAAAAAATAATAAGATGAATCGATTTATTTCAGTTTTGTCCAAAAGAGACTGTAAGTGTTACTTTGCTCAGGTGGGAATGAGGGGATGCTTCAGCCCTCTGCTGAGGAGTCTGTTCAGTGGAACTACAGTGAAGACTCGACTCCGGGGCTCAGAAACGGTGAAAACTCTTCAGAATGGGGTAAAACTTCACCACTGAGGGAGGATCGGTGGGACTCTGACAACTGGGTCATGTCCACCACTTGGGATATGCATCTAAACAGCAGAGGTGAAGAGGAATGTAGATTAGAGCCTGTAGAGTAGACACTCTTTCACTTTGGTTGAACATTTACCTTCTTTTAGTTGACCTCTGTGGTCACACCAGGCTTATAGCTGCCACCAAGGACACTGAGGTCAACCTAACACTTGATTACAACATAATAAATACATGCTCTACTAAATTATATCAAAAATGTGCACTGATGTGGTTACTCATGATTACCTTTATTTGTAATAAGCCTATTATTGAGAGCATTAGTCAACAGAAGAAACCAGTTCACTGGAGCTGGTTATTGTTACTGTTGAGGATGTTGCATCCTTCTCCTGTTTGTATTTCATGTTTGCGTAGTTAGTTAATAACCCAATGAGTGTTGTAACTATCTTCCCACGGATCGTGCACTAGCAGGACATCTTTCAACCAGCGCTCCTCCTGGTATATGTGACATCACCTCATGGCTGCGTGAACACGGACAAACACTCTGATTCCTCAGTGCACTTATTCGTAAACAGCTTCCATCTGAGCCACAGGGGTTTAAAAACCTGATTGTCCAGCTGCTGTGTACTGTCGGCAGAAATAGGTCCCCAACCGTAGAAAGGTCCGACTTGTGCTGGTGCACGCTGTGCTAGAGTTCAGTGCCGTGAGCTGCACTTGTGTGAACTGTGTGTCTTGGCTGCATGTGGTGCTGTCCCCCCCTTATAACCTTAGCTTTCACAGCAGTAGCTTTTTTCCACTTCAGTCAGTCTGTGCTAACCTGACTCTGTCCTCCCGTGTCTTACAATGCTGCCACATCAAGGGAGAGGACACCTCGCCGCAGGTACAGTCGTAGTTTATCTCCTCGTGTCACGATGATGTTGTTCTTACAGGTCCACTACAGATACACTGACATCACAGTCGTTTTGTTGTTGCCTGTTACTGTGTGGTACCTCTGTTACCCTGGTTTACCCTTTCGCAAATATCCCATGGGAAATTCTCATCATGTAAAATTGTATTGCTGACCTTTACGCCCGTTCTGGACTTGTTCTTATCTTGCCTGGTCATAGCCTGAAGTCCTCAGTGAAGGCCCTTATAGCCATTCCACATTTGAGGACCAAAGGTGACTGAGCAGTTCTGTCAGGATCATTTTGTTTTCAGTCTTTTCTCACTTTTTGTTTTTGCCCTTTTTGTTGTATCTTTATTCAGTCGGTATCTCCCGGTCTGCATTAAACTTAATGACGGGTTCACAGTTTTTCTGCTGCATCATACTGTAAACAAGAGTAAGTCAACTGAGGCCGATTGTGTTCTTCTTTTTCTCAGAAGTTCAGGACCATCGTCTGCAGAGTGTATGCATGTGTTTGTGGGTGTGGCAGTGTAATTGTGTGTATGAAAAAATAGCGTTGTCAGAGGTATAAGTACGGTGTTAAGGAACATAAACAGAGATTTTCTTTTAAAGACTGTTTTCTTAATTTTTCATACCAAGCACTGGCTTCATACAACTTCTCACAACATGAATAATATTTGTCATATCTGGTTTGGATCGATTTGATGCGCGTGATCATCTGAACCCTCGTGTGTGCAAACAAACTCTGTTTTCCATAACGTCTTTAATTTTGGTTCAAGGCCTCAAATTCCCCCTTTTATTTGTTTACTAAATCACTAACATCAGTTAGGTGTGTGTGTGTGTGTGTGTGTGTGTGTGTGTGTACTGTTTGTGTGCAGCAGTCTGTAGTGTCAGTCAGTGGAGTTAAAGCAAGTTAATCCATATCAGTTAATCCAGATTAGGGCGCAACAGGCTGCAGCTAAAAGATTATGTAACATGTCAGACAGAGACGCAGACAGACAGACATGTGGACAGACTCATAGACAAAATGAAGGCAAGAGAGCAGCGAGACAGATTTGTGGACAAACACATGGATAAAATAAAGAGCAGAGACACACACACACACACCAGAAATACAGGGAGGTAAAATAGGAAGAAGCAGGTGAAATAACTGTTAATTTAGGAAGCATTCAAATTTGTTGAGGGGGGGTTACAGTGCCTTGCTTTAAATGATGGGTTTACAGTTTAAAATGCAGAAGTAAGAACAAAGCTGCAAATACTACAAATTACTTTCAATATGGATGATGATAACGGACGCTTAGTTGCAAAATTAAATCTATATATCAGATTTAAATCAGTCCAGTTTAGTTGAAGAAGGAGCGGAGCCAAAAGGCAAAGCAGCCGATGCTCTGACCCTCAACTATGATCATGAGCTCTGGGTAGTGACAGAAGAATTACATTGCCAATAGAAGCAGCCGTCTGGACTCAGCCTTAGACATGGGGTGAGGACATCAGCAGAGAGCTCGCAGAGGAGATCCCTGGAAGAACTACATATCCCATCGGACCTGGGGACACCTCTCTTATTTGGTTGTCATTCGTTTCACACGTCCATTAATGAGCGTTTCACCGTGTGTGTGAAATATTTCCTGCAGGTTTCCTGGACTCTGATCCACTGAAAGAAGCCGATGAAGATTTGGTGTCAGAGGTCAACTTGAACAACTCCATCATGACAGAGGAGGAGAGAGAAGAGGCTCAGCAAGAACTGGCTAAAGTATAAACACACACACAAACACACAATTTTAGAGTACAAAGACAGTTGAAGGGCCAGTACTTTGTGTTTATCTCTGTGTGTTTGTGTGTGTGTGTAGCTGGAAGAGGAGATCAATACCCTGAGGCAGGTTTTGTCATCCAAAGAGAAGCAGCACGCAGAGCTCAAACAGAAACTGGGCATCGGTCCTCTGAGCGAGCTCAGGAACAACTTCAGCAGAGGCTGGCAAGACATGCAGAGCTCCACCGCGTAAGTTTGTGTGTCTGTGTGTATGTGAGTGCAGGAAAGAGTCCACAGTTTGAAATGAATCAGGAGAATGTGTGTATTTGTGTGTGTGCCAGTGGTGATAAGAGCAGCGGCTCACAGCAGAATGGCTTCTCTGTTTGCTGTCAACATAAATGCCCTTTAGAGGACACACACGGAGAAAGTGAACATAGAGGAAGAGCAGGTAGCTCCTCTCCTCTAAACTGATCCATCTGAAACACAGATATCACAAAACTCAATTAAAAAGACATCATCCTCTGCTTGTTTCAGCCCAGCGTGTGTGATTTCTTATCATGGTTGTACACACACACACACACACACACACACACACACACACACACACACACACACCATGAATCTGATTAAAAACCCATCGAACGGTGCTGAGGGCTGTTGTTGACCTCACAGCACAATCTGCTTTCCGTGGTCCATCCAGTCAATGATAATAAAGTATTGTCTCCTTTCTCCTGCAGAGTAAATGTTTGTTTCCTGCAGAGTAGAAAAACATTTGCTTTGCAAACCAAACAGAGCAACAGTAGGGGGATCCACTTCATATTTAATGAGATATTTAAAAGAACTGTACTGTAAAAGATGAGGAGAAGAAAAATCTACAAATTAAAACTGATAAAGTGTATTTTATCATGGATGCATATTTCAGGATAGAGTCAGTCTGACGTACTGATTCGATGGTCAGTTTCTTGCACCAGAAACATTAAGACGAGGGAGGAGGAAGAGGATCGTCTCCACAGGCCTCACTTCTTATCTAGTTACACTGAACCTGAAACCTTACACACGCACGGCCTCCATTCTCATCTATAATGAACCAGTGTGACCACAGGGCTGGAAGACATGTGAGACACGCAGGCACATGATTGGTTTAAGGTGCAATTTATGATTCCCATGAAAACCAAAAAGGGTTAACACAAGACCCACGATGAAATCCGAGAATAACTTTGGTATTTTAATTATTGATTTAGCTGTTAAAGTTGTAAGGGTAAAAAAAGGGCAACAACGTGATGCTGGTCAGTAATTTGTGCGTGTTTTCATTCATGTGTCTGTCCCCTGCACACATATCTGTGCACGTTACAAACGTGTGTGTTAATACTAGAGCCAGATATATATATTAAACATAAGATTAGTAATGATTCCTTAGATGTTGACATCAAACCGTTATGACAAAGAAAACAACTTGAGGCTCAAATATAACCTATAAATCTATTCTGTTTTGTTTATTCTGTAAAATAAAGCTCTTCATATCTCATGTCAGCCATATCAGCAACCAACCGATATATAGTTCGGTCTCTGGTGAATACTGTGTGAATGTTAGTGCGGGCCCAGTGCTTGAATGTGTGAAATATATTCATGTGTGTGTCAGATACAGGAAGACGTCAGAGACGCTGTCCACAGCAGGACAGAAGACCTCCGCCGCCTTCAGCACCCTCGGCACCACTATCACCAGGAAGTTTGGAGACATGAGGTACAGAACGTCGCTCGTTTCATTCCAGATTTAAACCCGTCATGTTTCCACCAGTGCCAGGATATATCTGTTGATAATCTGAAGGGTCAAGTGTCAAGTGCCCTGGTTGTGCATTAGCTCATCTCAAAACATTTATCATAAACTCATCTGCACAAACCAACCCAGTGTAACCCAATCCACTCACACTCCGCTGATGCATCCCCACTTTTATCCAGGTCACAGACATGTTTGTGTCTGTGCTGTCCATCCCTGAGTTTTGACTCTTGCCTCCGTTCAGAGGAGGCTGAGATTATGTAAGAGCACATTAAGCTGCTTTCTGAGCTGAAGGACTAAAGCAAAGTCTGTCTCCGTCCATCACTTTCTTCCCGTCTGACTCCCTGTGTGAGGCAGTGACGGTCAAAAGAAAGCGGGAGGGTGTCTGACAACAACTGTGCAAGTGTCTTTATTGTTGTGTGTGGAATATAAAGAGCATTTGTGTGTACAACAACAAGAGGAAGTTGAAGAATGAGGGCCTGTGTGTGTGTNAAAAACCTTTTTAGAACGTAGAATCTTCAGAGAGACATTTGAGGATCTGTCTCAGAGCCTCCATTTCACAACGACCATCAAACTGTTTGATTATCCAGAATAAAAGAAACAGTTACAGCTGTTAAATGCAGGAAGAACAGCTGGTAAAACATCTGATTGTGTCAATGTTGAAGTTACAGTGCCCCCTGGTGGCATTTGGTAAAAATGTATGTGTATGTATGTGTGTGTGTGTGTGTGTATGTGTATATATATGTGTGTGTGTGTGTGTGTGTGTGTGTGTGTGTGTGTGTGTGTGTGTGTGCGTGTGGGGGGGGGGGGGGGGAGCTATTGCAGAGTGTGTGTGGATCACAGGACAAAAGCCTTCAGGTCAGGGTCAGGGAACAACATGTTAACATGCTGTATATACCGCCTCGTTCAAGCAGAGAGTTTTTCTTCTTTCTGTCTTTTTTGATAAATGATATGTAACTTTTTTCAAGGCTGTAAATGATATTTGTATATTTGAAATTCATGTTCAAAATAGAAGTTTATTGTGTTCTTGGATGTGAATCACTGCAAAGAAACAATGTATTATTTTGGGTGTATTCCAGCATGGTTGGTCTAGAGTTACTGTTCCCGCGGAGGTATGTCGTGTGTGTGTGTGTGTGTGTGTGTGTGTGTGTGTGTGTGCGTGTGTGCGTGTGTGTGTGTGTGTGTGTGGTACAACAGAATGAATACATTCCAAACTCTATATGCAAAATTGAACACCACCGCAAGAATATAGGAGCCGTGATTAGTTACATACATGTTATTAAAACTAACTAATCTTGTTAGCGTCCTATAATATGTCATGTCTCCTACAGAATTCTACTATTAGATCTGTTCATCGAAGTTTTACATTCTATTCAATGATATTTATCCTTTAGCTCATTAGCCTATTAGTGTTTTATTGACTTTTATTTCTTCTATTTATGAGACTTTTAAAAACAGTTTTATTTTGGCTTTTAAAATCTATCTAGGTATTTAACTCTCAACTGTTTCGATTGTTAAGCATCAACATTAAACATGAAATTTGTCATTTTATACTTTTTTCCCCTCTCTATGGTTTGGTGTCTGTGTGCCACTGTCACTAATTCTGTGTGACTTTTCTTGCAGCAAACTTTTTATTCCTGTCTTTGCAATGCATGTGTGTGTGTGTGTGTGTGTGTGTAATTCATAACTATTCATCGACAGATTTCTTTAAATGTGAATAAGTGTTTTCTATTTGCAGTGTTTATTTTGAGTTGAGTATATTTTGTCACGTGTGCAACTGAGCGAAAGTTTATTAATACCGGTGCAGCTGATTTAAATAGAGAAATAGATTTGATCAATAACACGAATAATAACTTATTTTAACATTCATTTAAAAAGCTGTTTAGGCCTTTTCGAAGCCTCTCAAACTGTTTTCCATCCCCCTCCATGCTTCTCAAGGTCCAGCTCTATAGGGTAAGAGTCACACAGCTGATTATGCCACATTACGTAGCGGCCTTAACTCAATAGATCTGTGATGGTCGGTCCTGTGTGGAGTCCAACAGTCAGCTGACTCCTGTCGAGTGAATGCTGCTGCCACTCTGGATGGCAGCGCTCACTCAGGTCAGGCGCTCGTCTCAGCTCAGACACACATCTAATTGATTCTGGTGTCTGATAAGCCAAAACTAAATTCTATTAATGAATCATGTGAACAAGGTGTCATGAACTCTGCTGCATTTAGCTCGAAAGAAATCCTAAGCAAATACAGGAAGAGAGTGTTTTAGGAACACGTGGGCCTTTTTTATTTCACTTTTGATCGATTGCTTTGCAGCCGTGTATAATATCATACCACACCATGTTGTTGTTGTTACCCATTATATTCCTCCTCCAGTAGAACAACCAGTTTCCCTGCAAAACCAGTTCCTATTCCTTGTTGGGATCTGTCACATCTCACTTTGTCTCTCAGTTCATCATCTATATTACCCCTCAAATACAAACAATGCTTTCTCACTCGCTGAATGTGGATGTGCGTGTGTGTGTGCGCGTACGTGCTTGTGTACTCTGTGCTAATCATTAACTCTCTCTCTCCACGCTCTCTGGGAAACAGCTACTCTATCAAACACTCTATGAGCATGCCCACCATGAGGTAACCTGTGTGTGTGTTTGATGTTTCTTTTCTTTTTATGGCTTTTTTTTTTTACTCTTATACAGAAAGGGGGTTTATCACAAATAACGATCATTATTATTGTTTCAGTAATTCAGGTGTTCTGAAATAGTAAATTATATTTTTTTATTTTGTCTTCACAGAAACTCTCCCAGCTTCAAGTCTTTTGAGGAGAAAGTTGAAAATACAGTTTCGACTCTGAAGGTGAGCATTGTGTGTGTGTGTGTGTGTGTGTGTGTGTGTGTGTGTGTGTGTTTCAGAGTTTACAGTGTGACTCAGTATAAACACACACAGTGAGTCTGCTGGTTATTTATACTTGCAGTGAATCAGCAGATGTTCATCCTTTATCTATACTTTATGGGCGTAGAAAGAGGTTAGAGATGAACGTCTGTGTTTGACCTGGTTCTGTAAACATCTAATCCGTGGAGCAGGAGTCTAAACTGCTGCTTTCTTCTTTGTTTCATTCGTAACTTCCTGTGTTTTTCATCTCAGAGACATCATGGCCGTCTGTGAAACAAGTACACATAAGAAAACTCTCGTCTGTATTATTTCTTAACAGACAGTATTTACATGAAATAAAAATATATTAGCAACAATTATTAAACAGATATAAAATGTAAAAATATCTCTGATGTACTGTGTAATTATCAATTTCAGCACATTATACTGTAAATACAAAGTGAGGCAGAGCGAGGTGTGCAGCCTGCTCTAGGAACACTGGTGGAGGAAGTACTCAAACATTCTACTTTAACTAAAGTAAAAGTTTCACATTGAGTTTTGTAGTTGAGTAAAAGTAAGTACTGTACATGCTTTTAAATTATTACTACAAGTAAAAGTGTTTGCACAGTGCAGCTTATGCATGAGGGAATAGATTGAAGGAGACTCTAACTCTACTAAAGTACATATACCTTCAGTACAGTAACAAAGTAAATGTTCTTTATTTGATCCTGCCGCCGCCCAGGAAACTTTACAAATTTGCATGTACAAAATAAATAATCAAAAGTTTAAATGAAATCAGAAAAGACTTAAAATTAATATTGAAAGTTTACATCAAGACTGAAATCATCCATCCAAAGAAACTTGTGTCCCCTGCCTGTCTTTGTGAACCTCTGCCCCCTTGTGGCGATTCCGCAGAACAACAATGATGCATCAGAGAGAGACAGAGGGGGACGATGAGTGACCTTTAACATCTCAGAGTTTTCTTTTCTTTCTCTTAATACCAGACAAAGGTTGGTGGCACAGGGGCCGGCGGCAGCTTCGAAGAAGTCCTCTCATCCACAGCCAACGCCAGCTCTCAGGACACGCCCACCAACAACCTGACAGACAGCTCGGAGAGGCAGTGCTAGAGCTGCATCCGAAACCGTGAGGCGGGACTAAAAACCAGGAGCTGTATCACTGATGTATCTCAGCACTTTGTCACATATCCACTAAAAGCTCTGACTGAAATGTTACAGAATCATTTTATTTGAAGTCCAAGTCAGGATCAGGAGGCAGAAAAACCAAAATCCAGAGGTGAGAGGAAAAAGTGAATTGTTCTTAAAATGTGATCTGATCTTCATCTAAGTAGCAACGTGCTTCAGCTAATTACTCACAGACAATTGTAATTATTCTTAACAGAACATCCTTTAAATATCCACAGTACTGGAGGAAAAAGAACGTGAACCCTCAGATTTAAACATTAGTAGAAGTAGATTTACTTTCATGTTTAGATTATTGGTCCTGCTACTTCACACATTAACAACAGGCAGACACCCGGACATCCTCCTGTAAGAAACCCTCATACACTTAAAGAATTGGACCCTTAGGGATTGGATTGATTTATGATGAATCTGCTTCTTCATGATTGTGAACTTTCCAAACTCAGACAAGAAGCAGTTTCCATCATGATGATCCGTGCACTGTACTTCTGAAGCTCTCATGAATGTTCAATATATTGGTTCTTCCCAAACAATTTCAATTCACCCATTCCCCAGGGATTACTTCATGGATCTTGATTGAAAAAACTAATCAGGCACATTTTGGGATATCAAAGAATTTGGTGCAGCTTGATGGAATTTAAGGAGACGGTTGAACTATGGCTCAGGTGTGAACTCTACTGAGTCACAGTTTGTCTGTGGACTGATGAAATGGACAAGATGAATTTGTAATAATCTCCAGGTTTACTTAACCTGACTTCAGAAAGCTTTTCTACCTCCACTGTTTGAATAATGAATAGAAAAGAAAGATCCAATAATTTGTAGAGTTGAAACACGTGGCTTGTCTGTTATTGTAATTTAAACAACTCATTCTGATGTCTGAAAACAAGTTTATACATAAATGCAGATATTTCCAGAGGGTTCACTTACTTTTTCTTCCCTCGGTTTATTTTTATCCTGTCACTGAGCATCGTGGGGTTTGTTCCTCTGTTAGCGTCAAATCACAACTAGAATCTCAGCAACAAAACCTTGATCCCTGATTGTGCTTTGTGGAAACAGTCTCACTGGACTGATGACATAACTACCACTCTTCAACTGCATTACGAGAAATACAAAACTACAGTTTAGGTTCTTATAAGAAATATGTGTTTGATTTAAAAGCGTAGTAATTTTGAAACTATATGTATATAACACCTACTGATGTTGTATAATTGATTATACACTAAGACAGGATATGTGCTCCTGCAGGGAATCTGTAGGTTTTAAAAGTCTTAAACAGCATGGAACTCATTAGATTTGTTTTCTTCAAAAAGGCCTTAGAAAGTATTCAAAGTTTTTATTACTCCAAAACCTATTGAAAGCTTTATATGCACCAAAAAACACCAAATACAAAAACACTTTGTAGCTAAAACCAGCAAATGTTTGACATTTTTGCTTTAAGATTTTATTATAGTACCTAAAGATTTTTCGTAAAGTGCAGTCAAACAACTTGCTGAATGTAAAACACATTTGCTGGCGCTCTTTTCAATGCTGGATCACACTAAGGATATTTACCTCCGTTCATTCACACTACAGGATCAATTGGTTTATATATGAAGCAATGAAACAGCAAATTTCACTGCACATAGATTTGGACACATTGTTTATGAATAAATGTAATGATGGCGTGTCGGTTTCTAATGACCAACAAATAAAGAATCTGATAAATCACGGATGATGAAATCTGATGCTGGATACAGAGAGAGACTGAGGATCTGTATTATGAGCTAAAGAGATCTTTTTAACTTTGAGGTCAGTATAAAACGGTGTAGCTGTACTTGATCTGAATATTCTCAACGTGTTTTTTGTGTCACCTGCTGCTGATTCACAGGATATAACTTGTACATGTACTGTAGTATCAGACTGTAACACAACCTGTAATGTGACCCTGAAACCCAGAACACGCCGCTACTTACACCAGCTCAGATCTGAACCTGTTTAAAGCCGAAAGAAAGTGTTGAATTTTTTACCTTCACCATTAGAAGGTTGACATCACCAAAGATACAATAAATCTGATCATGTCTTTTTCAATAAATACTGTCTTTCATGTGTTAAAGTGATAAAAAGCCCTGGATCATTTCAGTCTGTCCATAAAATGTGTTTTTGAAACTTTAGACCAATATTCAAAGAACTGAATGATTTTGTTAGGCAAGAAAAAGTTGTCTGATTCATTATCATTGAAAATATAAAACCGTTTATATTTTATATTTGTACTTTAACCATGGCTTGAAATCAAACTGTACTCAGATCTTTTTACAAAAGCTTTTACTAAAACTAACTCCCAAAGACATAAACTGTGACATTCACATGTAACATTGTGTTTAACATATTCAGTTGTATTCATACATTTAATTACACGCTGTTATAAACAACTGTTTTTATGTCTGATAATAAAAATCACTCAAACCAAACATCACGTGACTGTTTTTAAAAAAAGGACAGAACTGTTACTGAAGCTGCAGGAAAATGCACTAACATTATTATGTTAATGAAAAAACGTGATCGACTTAAAATAAAGTTCAGCTCCAGCCACTGTTTTCTCATTTGTCAAAAATGCCACAATTTCCTTATTCACCAATGTACGTTTCTATCCTGCAGAGGGCGTAATCAAAAGGCTCGAGTCCTCCTGCAGAGGCCGTGGGTTCGATTCCCTCCCCGTCTCCCCTCATTTCATGTGACGTAGTTGTGTGAGCGCGATGTGTGTCCATTATCTCTGTCCGTCCACCTGGGAGGAGTTTGTGTTTTGTGCGTTACAGTCAGGAGGTGTGTGGGGGTGAATGTGGCTGTGCAGATTTGCCACCAGTGGTCTCAGAGTTCCCAGAGTTCTTTGTGCCATCAGTTTCAGTCATGTGACGCCCTCTCTCTTCATTCAAAGAGCTGACGAGCTGCAGCACGTCTGGGTGGTGGAAACGGCCTGAGAACGAAGGAGAATATAAAAACTGAAATGTTTGAAAAAATGCAAGTGAAGGCAACTTGTGTCAAAATCTGAGAAATGCACGCAGGTTCTCCCCTACACCCTGACCAGGATGTGTGCTACTTGAATGTTCCATTGAGGAGAAGATGGCGGAGAGCGGAAACTCACCGTTGGTGGAGTCGAAGAACTCCTGTAGTCTTCCCGGCGCTCCCTCCAGCTCCTCGTACTCGTGAGCCTGCAGGATCATCTCCAGGATGTCGAACTGTTTCACCAGCCGGGCCTCTGCACTGCTCTGAGTTTCATATTCCTGCAGATAACACAAGTCTGTGTCACTATCCTTCAGACAATCAGGGCTGTTGTTAGATTAGTTGAAGTGTTTACCTCCCACAGCCCATAGATCTCCTGTTTGAGACCCTCTGGCAGGAGACCTGACAGATGTCTCATCGCTTCCTGCAGGAAAAGTGATTTTTAATAAAAGACAAAGACAGCGACGGCTTTTGAAATATAAATCCTCATCATTGTTATTTATGTGGTTGCACCTTGAAAACAATATATTCAAACCCCTGAAGGTAAACAACTGGTGATACGTCCCTAACATCTGCTGGTGGTTGTCATCAAACTAGTGTGGACGACCTTCTTACACACAAGAGATATTCACCATCCTGTCCTATGTTTTAAAATATAAACAGCAACACGTATACTCGTCTCTTGCCTCTTCTCTCCTGTGTTTCTCTGCTTTACTGACGTTGTCTGAGGGAGCGATATCTCCCACAATGCACTCTGCCATGTCGTGAACCAGAGCCAGCTTTATACACCTGAGGACAGACAGATGGAGACGTTAATAAATGCGGACACGGGTAAAGTTGCTGTTTGGTGGTCGCGTTATCTTCTTGAAAAGTTTATAAATTAACAAACTTTAAACAGATGATGCTAAAATTTCAATGCAGCAATGTTCATATTAGTTTTCCATCAGACAAAGATGCATCAGCTGATACTCTGATGATGATAATGGTGATGATGACGTGTGTCTGTGTGTCCCACCTGTCCTTGTCCACTGTGGGGTCAGTGATGGTCAGAGACATCATGGCCATGCGGTACATGTGGTCTGATACGCTCTCTGGTTTCTTCACCTCCTTGTACACCCAGCCGGTCCGCGGGACTCTCTGCAGGAGACACAATCGATTTCTCACAACTTGTTCCACATGTTAGTGAGTCTGTGTTTGTGTGTGCACTGAATTCACTGCTCAAAGTCAATGACACATGTTGTTGTTCACTGGTTTTCTTAATCTGCTGAAATAGAAAACTGAAATTCTTCAGGTTTTGCTCTGTTGGTTAAAAAACAAAGCAAGTGGACCAGAGCAACAGTTATTCAGCTTAAATAACGAAGATCACTCAATAATGAAAATATGTGTTCGCCGCTCTGGCAAGAAAACACTGCCACTGCTCTGGAAAAACTAATGATCAATGAATCTTAGTAAGTAGGTTAGCACAGTGTTGAGTAAACTATGAATACATTTGACTGTATCTTTGTATTATTTGTATTGTAGCCCACAAATAGATACGATTTGCCAAACCATGAAACCAACTCATGTAGTTAAATCAGGAATTAAATCAATGCCTTTGTTTACAGCAGCCAGATCATTGTGTTTGTTTGTTTGTGTTTGTGTGTGTGTGTGTGTGTGTGTGAGTGTGTTACTACACTGATCAGCAGCAGCAGAACACTTTAAAAGGAAACTGAGCCTCAAAACAACCAGAGAATCCAGAGAATCAGACTTAACCCGGTCATCTTTTCTTTCCTGCACAGTCTCCAGAACAGAGTTTGATGAAGCCTCTTACTTTGAGTTGCCCGATAAATTTCATGAACTGCAGCATGTTGCTCATGTTGCTCAGGTTCATGCCAGCTGCTGCCTCCATGGGAGCCGCCATTACTGTCCACTAACAGGAAGATCGTAGCCTGTGCGGCCGCTAGATGGCGGCATAGACAACATGATGAGTGAAAAGAGAAACAGTAAAACCCCGGTGTGCTGATCTGTCTTATTTTTCTTTCACGTGTTTGCAGAGAGAATATTGTGTTCGACTTTATTTTGTCCTCACCGGAAAGAAGACCTTTTAAATTCCTTACAAAAGTAAATATAACAACACGACTGTAGATGGCAGTAGCGCAGCGGGCGAGCGGCGAGGAAATCCACGTAGAAGAATAAGAAGACGCACCGGAAGTGAGCGGAGCGGGAGATCTGAAAACGTAAACAAACTTGTCGCCGTCGTTCTCGATTCTTTCAGTTTGCGAAAATGTTGAAAAAGGCGCCGAGGCTGAAGAACACGATCAAGATGAAGGCGAAGGGGAACGTGAACGTGAGGCCGGCGTCCGAAGCGATGGTACGAAACCAAACCACGTCATTTCTCACCGGTCCCTTTGTGTGTGGCTAACTTCTGCTAAAGCTAGCTGGCCTCAGCAGTTTCAAGTTGTACTCGTCATAAGTTAACACAGAGTCAACAGAACAGTGGAAGGTGTTGGACAAGAAGAAACCGCTGAGCTCAGCAGTGCACTGGTTAAAGTTCAAATCAGAAAGTTGAACTAAAAGCAAGGTAAAAAGAGCGACTATAATAAAGTCAAATACATTATAATACAAATATTTATACATGTGGTGAACCCTCAAAACCACGAGCCCTATAGTTTCTGTCCACACCAAAACTCTGTGATTACTACTGAAATAACTGAGTTTATTTTAATCATGTAACTTTACATTTGCAAACAACTACTGCAGTTTTTCGTGCTTTTGTCTTTTCGTCTTTTGTTCTTCGCTCTTTGATGCAATAATTTCCCAATTTGAAATCAATAAAGTACATCTATCTATTTATCTATATATCTATTCAAAGGTGCAGTGACATTCGTTGCCAATGAAGTAATGACTTTTACTGAGTGTGTGTGAATAGTCATTGCACCGTGTGTGTATCAGTTCACATTTTTCCAAATAAAGTGCAAACAGGCAGGAAAAAGATGTGCAGAGGGTTGTTACTCATGAGTGGACTGAAAGTTAAGGAACCTCAAGCGTGTTTTCTCCTGTTTCCTCAGATTGAACTGATCACGCTGTTGTTCCTGAGCAGCCTGGCAGAGGAGGCCAAGGCCAACGCGTTTGAGGAAAAGTCTGCAACCATCAGAGCTCATCACGTGAAAGCAGTCTCCAAGGTCAGATCCAACACCACTCAGATCACTGCCTGCGTCTTACTTGTATTAACATCACACTAACATGACATCTAACTTTGAACTGTCCTGGGATTTTGTCTTAAATGACCAAACATGTAGTTTAGGAGAACCACTAGTTACTGATAAACATGCCACAAATTGAACTTAATTTATTTTAAACGCTTTAATATGTGATAAAGGATGCAGTTGATATTAGTACATTATCATTGCTGTCTGTTAAATATTCACCCAGATGATTGTTCGTCTATCAAATACCAGACAGTGATGAACAGATGCCAATCACCAGCTCCTATGATCCCAATCCCATGTTATCTTATTTTGTTCCTTCAGTGCTCCAAAGTCTCAAAATTCAGTTTACTGAATTTGAGGTTCAGTTAAATACCTTGATATTAAATTCCCTCCCAGAGAGGACGAGTAAAATATTCACACTCGAGAAGCTAAAACCAATGAAATTGTAATTGTTTGCTTAAAGATGACTTCAGTGAGTTGTCAGTGGTTGTTTCTGTCAGGACAATTTCCTGATGCCTCTGTGTTGTAGCATTACAACAAACATAATAATACATAGTACTGATCTGATAAAATGATAAATGTGTGCAATGCCCAAGATTCAAGAATATGTTTATTGTCGTTTTGTCTTGATGACGATAGACAGACGTTATACTGTCAGTAGCAGCGCCACATAATGTATATTTTTCAGCTGCTGTCCAGTGGTTTTCACTCTTGTAACAGTTTAGAAAACGCCTCTCTCCTACGCAATGTAAAGTTTATCACTGTGCTCAAAGGTTAATATCCTTCTATGCAAATTTGGATGTCCACGATCAATATCTGTATGTTTTAGTAATCAGGAATTTTCTCGTAGAGTAATTAGTCTCAGGTAGGCTCGCGTGTTTAAAAGTGTTAAAATTATGGAAAGATTAACGATCAACATGGTGTCTGAGTTGCTCGATTAATATTATCAAGATCTCCTCCTCTTTTATTTTGTCTCATATGATTTCTTGCGTCCTCTAACACACTTACATGCCTAACCCGCACTTACTTTGCTTCTTTTCACCTGATCTCCTCCTACTTCTTTGTTTTATAGATTCGATTTAGCACTTAGTACTTTACAGTTGTACGTCTCTTTAAATACAAGCATATGTCAAATTGGTATACGTGATTATGATTTATTTCTTGAACATTGTGAACAGGTAGATTTACAGAAATGTTTCTTTTCTTTATAGAAAATGCTGAAAAAAGCAAGAGGATGAAGAAGGCAGAAGTGCATCATTATAGTTTTATTTGAACATTGTCATGAATCGCAGCAGCAATATTTTTTGCTTTTTATGACAAAATATTTTGTTTTCTTCTGAAATTATTTTTTTTGCATTTTCTATATATTTCATTGTGCAAGCAAATGGCCTGTATCTCTTTTCCTGCTTTAATAGTTTTATTAAATTCCTGTGAATCTTAAAATGCCTCATATTTTACACATCTGTCTTGTAACTTGAAAAAAATATCGGGGTTTTTTTATGACGGCTGCCACTATCAGGTGGACTATAACACTAGAAAGCCATCATTTAAAAACTTGTGTATATGTCCTAGATTGGACTGAGCCACTTTTTTTCACCCTAAAGTAAAACAAAATGTTTTTAACGTATCTGAATATGTTGAAAGACCTTAATCAGGCTTATTTTTCAAAGTTATTGAGTGAGTATAATCTTTGGTTCATCTTACATTCAGCTACTCTCTCACTCCGCCTACCCTCCGTCATGCCCACTCTGCAGCCTCTTCGCTGAGCGTGGCCTCAGCCTCCTTCTACATTCCTCACCTCTTCATGCTGTACAGATTATCTACGAGCTCAGATGCTATCCTGTTCATTCCTTATCACTATCAGGTTCCTAACAGCAAGTCTTTTGTGATTTTTCAGGCATGTGAGCGGTGAAAAGGTCACAGTTCGGTTGTTTAGTTGCTCAATCATTGCACATAAATTTTTACTTGGATGTCAACACATCCACCAGAACCTTGATGGCAGCTGTTGATCTCAAAGATGTGATTCTGGTTTATATTAGAATGGACTCGCTATTTATTGACATGGTCCAATCCAAGTTCAGGATTTAACTTTTTAGAGACTTGATCAGTATAAAAATAACAGATTAATTCACTTAATGTGAACATGATTTCAGGGAAATGTCCATGTGTGTTACTTTGGCCACGAACTCTCTTATTCACTTGGCTCTCTCCCTCTGCTTCATATTCTTCTGCTTTATCATTCCCCCTCTTTTTGGCAGTTAAGACATTCCATGGACTCCATTGGTTATTTTCTTCAAGAATCTGATCCGGCCCCCTAGCGAGCGTAGCCTTGTCATGTTTATGTTTCCAGTCAGGTTGTGGGGATATTACTGGGTTTGTGGAGCCCCACCCTGCTGACCTTTGAACCCCCTGACACTTCTATCTCTTTTGCAGACCCAACTCACATGTTGTTCTCACAGAGTCCTTGTAACATTTGATGATACAGCTACATACAGTATATTTTCAAATCTAAAACAAACTGTTGAAAATGTTAATCTATAGCCAGGCTAACCCTAACCCTTGCCAGTCATCAGCTGGGCCGATTTAAGCCCCAGCTTCACACTCTCCCAATGATGCTGTGTGCTTTGACGGCTAATCTGTAAATCTATCGCATGCATATTGATAGATGATATCGTTGTGCAGCAGTTGTCCACACATCCAGTGGCTCCTCTGTGGTCTTCTTGTATCGCTCTCCTCTTTTAAGTTTGCTCTTGTTCTAGAGGGATTTGAGAAACTACTTTCTTTATCAAAATAAAGTAGCAGACCAGCCTCACTTCGCTCCGCCACTGCGAGCGTGTGCTTGTGTGCGAGCAGTGCACCTGTTGACAATTTAAGCCAGCTCCATTGTAGCTCCGGTCCAGCTCCTCTGTCTGTCTTTTTAACTCCGTCTCTCTCGCATAAATCAGCTCTAGTATAAAATCCCACTGCAAAGCTCCTGCTGATTCCTCTTTTGAGGATTTTCCAGACGAGCCGAGAAGGAAGAGAGCATGACGGTCCACCCTGGCAGAGACGTTATTATGAGAAGTCGCTGTTCCTTCCTTAATGAAGAGCACGTGCTTTCACAGCTTTCAAATGTGTCACTGGTTCTGTTTGTTCCTTCCTGTGTAGACAGCATCATGTCACTTTAAAAACAATATATCAGCTGATTAAGAAATAAATTTAGCTTTTTTTATAGCAAATCAAGGGATTTTTGACAGCATGAGAAGTGGCAGGCTCTTAAAAAAAGATTGTGGATCAAAGCACAAAGGAAAATCAATTCCAGGCAAAAAAGTCTTCTGCACGAAGGGGAATACTGGAGGGTTAAAATCTGTTTTGGAGAAGTGGAGGAAGAACCACAGAGTTCCCAAAACAGACGATAATACACACCGGGATGCCAAACAACAAATCACTGGAGGGCTGGAGCTTTCATCACATTCCAGCACTTTTGTGGGAATCACCGGTTCTTCCTGACACCTCCACCTCTTGTTGAAACATACTGTAGTCAAATCACTGTGTACTATTCTAGCTTTCATTTTGAGAACCCACGTCTTAACTAAAAACATGCAGTGCCCATTGGGGACAATGTCAAGTTTAAAAAGTCAGGCAGTGGATGTTTTTGTTTGAAGTTTTTCCTCCATGACTCCATCATAGTGACTTCATGCAGCCTGTATGAGGAGACTTTGAGAAGTTGGTGTTGATCTTTCCATGATGCGCTGACAAAAACAGAGTTCTCTCATTTTATTTGAAATTGAACCAAATTAAATATTTTGTTTTCACGATCGCACAGTCACACCATATGTGCTGCTAGATTCACAAGTGATTTAAAGAAGTCGTTTGTGCAGTTAATGTTGTCATACATGAACTTCTTAACATGCACAATAAACCACCTGTTTTCATCACACTGGCGGGTTTAATTTTTTTAGGCTTTCAGTGTTTGGCATGAAATAGGTCATTTTAAAGGCATTGTAATTGAGAAAATGGTTTTATTTAAAGGTGAAATGGTTTATTTAAAGGTTTCAAATTTTCTGAAATAATGACATAATTATTGAATGCTTTGATTCACCAAAATATAACATGTTTCATTTTAAGAATTGTAGACTATAGTGTGGAACTATAGACTATTATGTTATTAAAATGAAATGTGAACAAGAGTTTTATATTTGTCACAACCCTTCGAGCTGAAGACAATTTTAGTTGGATTTATTAAACATTGCCACATGTTTAATCTAAAAAATATTAACTTGTTGAAGAACCTTAACATTACTTCTCCTCCATTTAGAATTTATGAACATGCAAAAACACTTCTCTCAAAAAGCCCCTTCTCTCTGTGGATTGTACATCATCATTTGTACATGTGTTAAACTCTGGAAACGACTTTCTCGTGTTCTGCACAGTGAAGGTCAAACATCCAAGTGAGGTAACGTTCAGCAAAACACATTTTTGAGTGGAGAGAGAAGGTTAACACACGAAAGGAAGGTGTGTTTGTGGGTGGGTGGGTGKGTGTGTGTGTGTGTGTGTGGGTGGGTGATCCAGAGACAAGCTCACAGCAGCTTACCCAAACTTTACATTAGCTCTGGGTTGCGACTGTCATATGATGGTTTCTCCTCTGTTTGCATTCTTCGTGGCATTCTGCCAGCCTGAGTGATCGCATGGAATGCACATGGGGTTTTTTCATCGGGAAAATATTTTTGCTGCTGTCTCACCCACACTGGAGTCTTCTACGAGGGTCCAGCTGAATGAAGCCGGAGAAATTCAGATTAATTTTTTTTAACAAATGTACATCCTGGGATTTGGGATGTGAGGCCAGGTGTCATTGCAGACTGGATCAATGCTGTGCTGAAGGAAAATGCGGATACCGTTATTATTCATTTGGATTCTGCACTTCATGGATCTTGCAAGAGGCTCAGACAACTCAAAGATTCTGCGATACAGACGTAAGTATTCCAGCATGACTTGTCATTTCCGCTTATTCAGCACTCTTTGATATGGTTCCTGTGAAAGGTGCCTTATCTTGCCACATTTTTCTCTTTGTAAATGAACAGTCTCAACATGTGGAGACAATAAGTGCGTTTCCAGGGAACGTTTCTTTATACCCACTTGCTCACTTCAGATTTCAAACTTGGCTCTGTTCTCCAAACCAAGTTGCCTTTAGAATTTCATACTTTTAATGAGGCACAGTGTATTTCGTAGAGAATAAGAAGAATATATAACTCACTCAGTGTAACTGTCGTCATTCCTTAATGTCCTTATTTTCCATGACAGGTAGCTCTTCAGTGAGCAGACTCTGCCCGGCAGGTTGTGCATCATGCTCAGCTCTTAATGGCTGCCTGTCCTGTAAACCTCGCCTCTTCTTCCACTTGGAGCTGGACGGGATGAGGCAGAGAGGCACCTGTCTGTCCTCCTGTCCCCGGGGCCACTACGGCAAGCGCTCACCACACATTAACACCTGCCCCAGTAAGTACCCATGGACGCCAGAGTTTTAATTTTTGTCAGCGCAGAACTTGGGATTACAATGATAGATGGTTTTGTTGCTGATTAGTTTGTACTGAATTTAAGAGTTGAACTGTCTAAACTCACCTGGTTCAATGTCTTTGTGGAGCTTGAGATACCTTCAGTTTGTGCCAAGGAAACTAAGAGCTTCATCTTTTTTGCACCGACACAGTGGTCACTGCTCTAACCGAGGTTCCCTCCATTGCAGGGTGCCGAGAGGACTGCGCTTTCTGTTTTAGTGAAACCTTCTGCACTCGCTGTCATCCGGGCCACTTCCTGTTCCGAGGAAAATGTGAAAATAGCTGTCCGAATGGGCTGACGGCAAACACAGCACTGCGAGAGTGCACAGGTGAGACACTGTCACTGTTGCGATGTTATTCATTGTGTCACCCAAATCAGTTATTTTCCATAATGTCAGGAAACTAAAACACTTTGTATGATGTCTGTGTCCATTGTCTCAGAGTGCCCTGTAGGCTGTGAGATGTGTGTGAGGAGAAACGAGTGTGTGAGGTGTCGAGCAGATTTATACATTCTCCACGGGCAGTGCCACCATAACTGCCCAAGTGGATCAGAGCCTGATGTACAGCTCATGCAGTGCATCCCTCAAGGTGAGAGTGTGGTCTTCCATTTTCTATCTCCTCCCACCACTTAGTGGCGTATTAATATTCTGGTATCTCCTCTAGTACAATGTGGGGTTGGGGAATGGACAGAGTGGGGTCCGTGTATTCGGAAAAAGAATTTGTGGGACAATAGGATGGGGAGGAGACGCGCCCCGGTCAACTTCCGCGGTCCCGGAGTCTCTGCGGTGACCGCTGTGTCTGAGATCAGGAAGTGTGTCATCAAAAAGAGACCAAGTGGACTGTCGTGACTTGAGGCCGAGAATTTATCAATGATTTGTTAGCTTTGTAAAGATATTTACCTTTTTATTGCACATTTCTTTTTGGATGAAAATTTAAATGTGGTCTTTTATTGTCAGTTGTAAAAATGTATAAGTTAAAATGCATTTTAGTGTGAATTAACAAAAGGATGATGGATTGGCTGATTTTCCTGCCATTGTAGTCATGTGCTTAAGTGATACCACTGGTGTTTTACATGCTGATTGTCTGATTTGACTTTGGCTCGGTTTATACTCGGGCTCACTGTTTTCATGCTTGCAATAAAATGTTGTAGAACAAATTTTTGGGGTCCTCAGCTCCTCATGATAAAACTGGACAAGAACATATTCAATTACTCCAGTACAGGTCAAGAGCTCTTTTTCTTGGGGGGGTTTGGCATTTTACTAAAGGAAAGCACAAGTGAAAAGAACATTAACACTTGATTTCCATTCAGGTGGTCTCTTTCGTAGCTTTCTGAGACGCTGACTTAAATAGAATAGATATTTAAAAGTTTATTAATATAACCTGTATTTTTCCTACAATGACAAGTGATGTTTGTAATCAGTCCCACAGCAAATACAGTAAAAATATAAAAATGACACAGGATATTTATTACCTTCACCTTTGTCCGTGTTTGTTGTAAAACAAGATCGCACAAAAACTACTGGAAGGATTACCTCCAGTAGTTTTCCAAGTACTTCCACTGATTAAAGTTTCCCATGTAATATTGTCACAACTTCCCTGTGAATAGAATCCAAACCTTTGATTAAGTAATATAAGAAATATGGGTGCATGTATAAATATACAGAGAAATATATATATATAGAGAGAGAGAGAAATTGCACAAATCTCTAATATTATTGGTAGTAGTCATTCAATATTTGAGAATATGCATGTGGGGAAACAGGCTGCAAATAAATGGATGAGGTGACATTATTATTACACACATCAGTCACTGGCAGGGAAACTGTTTGGTCACTGGCTCCCTCTAACCATGCTCAAAAATATTTAGAAAGAAATCCACACAAGTAAAAATAAAATATATGAAATAAAATCTACACTTAAATATAAATAAAACTGGAAACAAATATATTACTGAGTAAAATGAATGAGAATGTAAGTAATGCTGATTTGTGGTAGTGCAAATATGACAAGATGCACACAGAATGAATGAGGGATGAAGTCATATATTACTGATAGAGTTTGTGACACAGAGTGGGAGAAGTGGGGTCAGCTTCATGTTTGAACGTTTTCACTTTCCACAAACTTGAAACTCGCTCCTGTCATTGAGCGTCTATCGTCGCTGTGATACTTTAGATCTGCACGACATGTGGACGCAGTCTGGACCTGGGCGTGAGGCGCATTCAGGCGCATTGAGATCAGCTGGGCTCGGCCATCGCTGCAGCTCTGAGCTCCAGCAGCGACGCGGTCAGACTCAACTCTGGATCTAAATATAAATGCAGCTTTATAAATACCTCCGGCTGCACTTCAGCTGAGAAACTGCTCGAGGTAACATGTGATCGTGTGTCTGTGTTAGCGGGGGAGATTAACAAAGCCAGGAAACGCACTGACGGTTCACAGGCTAGCCGAACATGCTAGTACCAGACTAGGTGTTAGTTAGTCGTTGGGTGAATGCCTGACCTTCATTGTGACGTATGTTAGCTCTAATGTTACTTCACATCGAGCAGAGCTGCTTCTAGCATCAGTGTATGGAATGTGGATTGAAATAACAGCTATAGCAGCTGGTGAAGTTGCTAATCAGCTAACATTAGCTTAGCAATAAGCTTGTTGCGTGGGTTACAGTAACTCTGTCAAACATGGGGGGGAGGGGGGGGTTGTTGATGTCAGATACTTGATCCTGACTGGAGTCATTTGTAACTCTGATGTAAATAGTGCTAATGGATGTTAGCATAAACAGAATGTAGTTGCTCTATGTGTGCACATGAGGGCGTTTCCCGAAACTGTCAACATGAGCGCATGTGAAGTGATCAGGGCCACAGACGTTCTCCTGTTTATCGAGACACTGTTTTATATGTTCACCTGCAGCAGCAAATCAGACGGGCTGTGTTTCTCTGCAGCATGGCGGGCTGTGGAGAGATGGACCACCCGGTGAATGTCCTGGCTCCTACCAAGCTCATAGAGGAAGTGGGAGACACTTGTGCCACGGAGTCCTCCACCACCACCTCCACCCCGGAGTGTGCCATCTGCCTTCAGAGCTGCGTCCACCCAGTACGCCTCCCCTGCTGCCACGTCTTCTGCTTCCTGTGTGTGAAAGGTGCCTCCTGGCACAGCAAGCGTTGTGCTCTCTGCCGACAGGAAGTGCCAGAGGACTTCCTGGAGCGGCCAGTTCTCCTCTCACCTGAAGAACTGAAGGCAGCAGCTGCAGGGGTGAGCCGAAGTGGCGGGACAGGGGGCGGTTCCGGTGGGGACTATGCGTGGTACTATGAAGGGCGCAATGGCTGGTGGCAGTATGATGAGAGGACCAGCCGTGAGCTGGAGGAGGCGTTTTCCAGGGGCAAGAAGAGCACAGAGATGCTGATTGCAGGGTTTCTTTATGTGGCCGACCTGGAGAACATGGTGCAGTTTCGCCGCAATGAGCATGGCCGCAGGCGCAAGATAAAGAGGGATGCTGTAGACATCCCCAAGAAGGGTGTGGCAGGACTGAGGTTAGACCCTGATCCTCCCACCACCCCTGCTTCGCCAATTGTCACGCCAGCTGCAACAGAACGCGTCAGCTCAGCAGATGGATCAGACACTGCAGGACAATCGCAACCGTCATCATTTGGCATTTTGTCTCTCCCCCCTGTTAGACCTCCAACACTCCTGGGGCGTCATCTCACAAGTCCTTTCCCTCCCTCACTCTCACCCCTCGAAGACTCTTTCTCCCAGCTCCTAATTAGCCAACCAGAGGGGGAAGAGGTGGAAGGAGATGGTGAGCTCCAGACATACGAGTATGCATCTGGCAACAGTGAGAGTGACGAAGAAACAGAGAGCGAGAGAGGGAGAGCAGCTTTGGTTCCACAGAGAAGACTTAGACAGAGACCGCTAAGAGAGAACCACCCAGCCAGAATGCCTCCCCGGGGCGGACCCTCCAACTCCGCACTCAGTCTCCGCTCACGTAGTCCAGATGGACAGTGCACTGTGACAGAGGTGTGACTGCACCAGTGGTGTCTATCCTCCAGACAACACACATTAAACTAATCAGTTCAGCAAAAAAACCTTTGAAATCTAATATGCATCTTTTGAAGGTCCCTTGAAATTAAAAATCAATCATTGAAGTTGTGTTTCTGTCATTTGAGCCGTTTTCAGATATGACCTACGGGTAATAGCTTGTGTGGCTCACAGCTGTGTGCTCGGATGTGTGGACTAATATTTAAGTACTTAACATCTGAGAAACTCATGGTCATCTTTGTCATGCTCCAAAAACAGTAACACTATTACAGCCATTTCATGGGACCTTTAACACATCTTTTTGTTCTTCTAAACTAGTTTTGGGCAGCAATATGAAGCAGTGGTAGTCGTGCATCACTCCCAGCAAAAGTCTTGTTTCCAGGCTAAAAAATGCTGTGAGAAAATCTATCACCTCTTTGATGGGCATCAAAAAAAAAAAACTACCATCAGTCCCTGCATTAATATCAGTGTGTGACAGCGCAATACGACAAAACTAGTCCCTCTGTGTTCTCTGTTCTTTTGACCTCATGTTTGATTCTCTTTTTGGAGTGATTATATAAAAATGAAGTTTCTGTGTAGCACCTTATGTACCAATAACAGATGGTATCACAGATTTCCTGCTTTGCTGATTTTGGTTTATGGAGGTGATGAAGTTTTAATTAGTATCCAATGATGAACTATTTAAGCGTGTGCGTGCGTGCGTGTGTGTGTTTAAGTTTATGACAGAGAAGCTGAGTTCTTTTACTTTTAGTGTAAAACTCTTGTCTGAATAATTACTTGTGTGTTTTGTGTTTGTGTGAATGGTGTTGGGTGCTAAAAGCTACTGGCAGAACCACTGGAAATATTTCGGCTATATATGTAGAGTGACACATTTGGATCTCTATTTGTCGTCGCAGTACTCTCCATAGGGCCACTATCTACGCACTGACACTGACATGTACTTTGGAAGAGCTCAAGCTGTCCTCACACGCTCTGTTTTCTTCTCCTTTTGCTCCAGCTGCTATTATTTTAACTGTGAACTCGTCATGGTCGGTGTCTTGCTGTCTGAATGACCTTAAACGGTCTTCTGTCTGTCTGGTGTTGCCCCTGTGGTCTTTTTGTCAGCGTATTAAAAGTGTTATGATTTGAAAACACATGTTGTCTGTTTGTTTAAATAGAATACACAGTGGATTATGTTACAGAATAATAGGAAGACTGAAAACAGAAGTGGCACTGATCCATGAGCCTGTTTGCAATGTAGCTTGAGATTTCAGTCTAAATGTAGTGTACCTTAAAAGTCCACAGGATGGCGCAGTTGTACAAATTAAGTAGCCCTGTTGTCTGAGACCATTGCATTAACCCCAGAGAGGTTGGGCAGTTACTAAAAATAAAAAAGGCTGTTGGGATCTTAACAGTTGGACATAGTATTTGTGTGGACACAGTACATAACAATAATGTTTAAAGTTTAAAAGATTTTTCCTCTCTGATAATTAATGGACTGTTTTTTACCTAAATATTTGCAAGAACCTCTCAGCAAATCAAATCCAATAATTACTTTTGACTCTTGGTTCCCTCCTGTCTGTAGTTGTAGATGATTCAACACAAAGACATGAGCAGAATGTTGTCTATCTATGAAACTTCAATAACAACTTAGAATTGAAATAATTGAAAACGTGTTTGTTTTACACTAATTTACTAAAGAAGAGCGTTGTTTATGAATAATTTAGTTGAGTTTTATCCAAATGTCTCGGTGGTGACAACAGAAACTGAATTAGAAGGCCAGTGTTTCCTTTATTCTACATTCAATAGTTTAACTAATGCAGTTTTGTAGATATGTAAAGAGAAACCAGTTAATTCTCTGATTTATCTTTCAACAACATGAGCACTAACCTTTTTTCTCACCCCCTCTTTCATAAAGCAGTGGTTATTCTGACTGCCTTGTGGTTTGTCTTACTCAACAGTGAGGGACGGTGGGACTATGGCCACTTGCTAGACAGTGACTGGTGCAGATTGAAACACACCGGTTTGTTACAGGTTTGTGTAATGAGGAGATGTTGCTAAAAACAAGAAGAGTGTCACCAATGCAGCTGTGCGGCAGCGTTTGCCAGCTGATGAAAACCACAGGCTCCCTGTGTGTAATCTCACCGTGACTGGAATTAGAAACAAGGTTTAACGAGCCAGTTTCTATACAGAGAGTCAATAGAACTGTGCACACTGTAACTTCAATGATCAGGCTGCCCAAATGTTGACTGACAAAATGTGTGTTTCTGCTTTTGAATAATTTTGGAATACTTGAAATATGTAAACTGCATATATACAGAATAAGCCTCCACACCATTAACGCAATATCTCAGGAACACCTTGTAGGAATCCCTGCAATTTTGGCAGAAACCTTTTCTTAGACTCAAAGAAGAAATTATTCTATTTTTATTTTTTATTTTGTTTTCACAAGATTGTGACATCTTGAGTGTGGTATTTCAACATTGCTTTGAAGAGTGTCCTCAATTTTGGTGCAAAAGTTCACTCGGATGAACTGATTTGATTTTGGTCGAGCCTTCAAATTTGAAGGAAATCATTTTGGTAGTTTTTGAGTAATCTTGCTAACAAATAAAGCTACTTTGCTGGTTGGTTGAGACATATAACTACGAAGCAGTAATTCTAGTTAATGATTATTTAATTACTCAAAATGTATTTTCCAGTATTTGTTAACATTATTTCATCTCACCTTTTGAGCACAAGTCAAAGCATCATACATTAAATATGTGCTTTCCTTATGAAGTCCAACAGCAGCAGTTGCAGACCTCTTGCATGGCCTTAGCTTGCATGTTATACACCATGATGGACAGATTTCTATGCCATGGAAACAGAGACTGTATTTAGATTGAATAAATATGTATGGGGCAGCATTTTGTGAGGGACGCACAGGGACCTGAGACATGTGGTGACAGTGTGAAGAAGAGCAGATATTGCAGATTACATGCTGCTGGCAAAGGAACAATGACACCGATTCTGAGTTAAAAGTGGAGAGAACATGCGTGTGCTTGCATGCATGTCTGTCTGTGTGCATGATTCAGACGCCGTGAGCACTTGTGGTCCTGGCATCCACTATATGATAGGGGCCAGACATAGTTTCCCTGCTGAACTCACAGACAGACAGGCAGACAGCACTTCTATATGTTTTCAGACACGTAGCTTCACTTTAACCCTCTCATACGTGGTCAAATGCCTGTTGTAGCTCAACTCTTCACACTACAGAAAATACACACGCAGTCTACAATCCCTCTACAAATAGTCCTGTCGTACCCACGTCTCTCTCCACCCCGAGGTCCACAGTAGAGCTTTGTTGTTGTGTGGATTATGTTTGACCTTGTTGTTGTTGAGGTAGGTCGTCTGGTGGACAGCCTCATATGTTTACTTATAAAACAGCAATTTAAAAATTGCTTATTTCAAAAAACGTGTAGTGATATATGTAAAACAGTGCAGTTGCTGTATTGCTGTAAAAACAATGAAGGATTTAGGTTCTAACAGGCTGTACATGTGTGTACACATTTATCCGCTCTATGTCACTTCTAATCATAATGCTGAGATTCACAGACAGGCTATCTCACTCATACAGGAGCCAGGAATGACCGTAACCATCGCCGACCATTAGAGCCTATCAGGTGTCACGCCTCTCTAATCCTGCTGCTACTGCTCCGTTTATGACAGCGAGGCGCCACGTCCTTAATATGATGACTCAAATCATAAAGCTGTTATTGTGGTTATTCTCCGTTTCTAAATGCGGTATCATATGACTGCACAGTTTGAAGTGACCCCTTCATTCCAGAGCTATAAGTTTATAGAGTTCTCTCATGAACACTGTTCTGCAGGAACGTTATGTGGGATGATTATCTGTTGCTATATTCAAATGTGTTTCATCATTTTGAGCTTCTGAATAAGAAATGATTATGAATGTGTGCACTGGTCATTTTTCAGTATTAAGGCAACTTTATGATAGAGGACTACAGAATATGTGCTAAGAAATCTTTCCAAACAAAGTTGTGCAATTGACAGCAGTATTAAAATGTATTAAAAATACACATCGAGGGAATTCAAATATGGTTTCATAAGTGGACTGTATAAAAGCTCTACCTCTCAGCAAATTATTTAGCAATACCTCAACACTAATATGCAACAATATCTGAATATTAATACTCATAAAAGCACTATTCTGTAAAGACTGTAATCTGAGTATAAGTACACTAAGTATTTTAATCACTTTAAAGACGTGATGACAACAGCTTTCAGAACCTAATCCTTCTTCACAGAGACATGATAGTGGAAACTTAACCCAGGTTCTCATTCCAGCCTTTACATCCCTCTTGTATAGAGGAGACACTATAGAAACTATATATGATTGTAGACCCAGTGTATGTTGTTATCCCATCCTGCCACAGTGATAGCAACCTGTTTAATCCAGCTTCAGTTTACCTTTAATTTTATATTTCAAGTGTCTTGAGTCCACAAAACACTTTTGGGGTTTCAGGTGTAAACAGGGTTGGAGCCAAATCAAATACAATTAAAGCTGGTGACCACTACAGAAAAAAAATCATTAAATACCCCCATACTGCTCCTTTGGTGTCGTCCAATGTCTGCAAGCCCCATAATTTACACCTTTTAGCCTAAATGTCCTCTACTGGTACTAGCGATGCTACTGTGCACCCTGTGTGCTTATGTTAGCACACTAACACTACACTAGTGAGCATGCCAGCATGCTTGTGTTAGCATTATAGCCTCCACCATGACTGTCAACTCTTTTAGCCTTGTTGTTGAATGCAACATTATTCCTCTAAGCTGTGTGTGTGTGGGCCCAGGGCCAAACGGTTGGTCCCGTAGTTGCTCCCAGCTGACTGCTTCACTGAATCCAAATTAAAATTGGTCATTCGTCACAAGATAAATAGACCACTATAGTCACCTCTGCCGGGCAACACCAGCTAATCCCACGAGAACACCCCTCGCTTGTTTTGAAAGGGGAGCCTCACGGGTTGTCTTTCAAAGGGGAGATATTTGGGCCCCATTCTATTTTAATGGAGAGGTCTGGAATTCTCAAGAACCCTTTAGGGTCCTCCCGGCTGTCCTTGATGGTTCCATGTCTTGTACCACCACACTCATCATCCGGCATTTGAGCTCGTCATTTCTAATGGACGAATGCAGACACACTGACAGTTCAGACAGGTGGACGAAGACTGAGTGAGCTGGATTGTGACCTTGCGACACTGTCTCCGGTCCAACAGATGGGGACGTTTTGTACTTTGTGTATAAAGTGGGGGTAAAACGTGTGTGGAGTGCTGGGATTTAAAAGTACGCGCTGGGGCCGACTATTGAATTCATCATTTAAGCTGTCACACGCTCAGGCGATGAACAACAGCTTGGAAATCGTTGAAATGTTAGATAGAGGTGTTGAAGGATATGATCAGCAAAGACTTTGACGGGAACGTTTTGTGACATAAGACAGGACACGATTGTGGTTTTTCCTTTAGTTGTTCTTTGTCTGCATCCAAGTTGTGTCCTAAGCTGCTAAGAGAACATGTAACATCAACAGATCATGACAGGACTTTCAAAACAGGTGTCCATCTTTCCAGTTTGTTTATGAAACCGTCCACTCACATGTCCGGTGCAGGTGGATGCCAACGGGGGGGGGGCATCCTTTTAAAGACAAAGAAAAATGCAAACCCTGTAGAACACTAACCTGCATGATGTTTGAGATATGCAAACATCTTTGGTGTGTTAAGTTTTAACAAGAGAAATGGTCATACATAATGTAAAGGGAAGGCCTGTATAACCTGTAAACAGCTCAGTTTCAGGTTGTTTGCTCCCTTTAATGTTTAACCTTTTGAACAGGGTGGTCCTGCGCTCCTCTATTAACATTTTTATGACATACACACACACATACGCACACATACGAGTGGTTGTTAACCATCTATTTCCAGCCTGTCGCAGTAGCAACTGACACATGCTGAGGATTTCAGCGCGGACCTTCGAGCCCAGCTCCACTGAATGAGAGGCCTGTCCAGGCAGAGAAGCAGCAACACGGGGGGGCAGAGGGCACAGGACAGGGGACAGGTGTGTGTGAATGAGAAGAGGAAGGAGAGAGTGTGAGATTCACACGTGCCTCAGATGGAAGAGAAGACGTTATGTCAGCCACCAGAGGCTCGTTGAGACAGATGTAACACGCATTTTCACGCATGTATAGAATATACAGGATATGCAGCCTGTTGTTAATAGAAGCTTTCAAATCTGCCTAGTAACTAGGGCAGAGAGTCTGTCTCTGCCTGTGAACTTTCAATAATCAGAGCTAAATAAAGCCAGCTAGAGCCTATATCATACAAACCATTTGCCATATCCAGATGTGTGATCTCATGCATTAGAAAAAGGTTATTCCATTGGACATTATAATACTCTTCAAAGAATATTTTAAAAAATCACTTTAAATTATTGTTTTCTTTCACATAAACACATAAAGCATCTTGCCCCTCCAATGCTATTTAGTAAAATTAATATTTCTATTAAATTCTTATTTCTATTTTTATTATTAGTTATGTCAAAAGTAACATTTTAAAAATGGTATTTTTTAAAAGTTCTAATAAAAATACACCTAGACCTAAACAAGTTGATTATCTCAAGAAGTCTCTAAGAGTTACTGACTTGCTATCAAATGCTGATCTTATGCAGGAATATAAAATGTTCTTTCAATTTGGTCTTGAATGGGACACAATTACCACAATTGGAAGCGTTCAATACTATAACTCATCTAAATGTCATCACCCTCAGCATGCTCAAAACTGTGAGAGCAGATGCTGCCTGTACCCAGATGTCATGAGTACGTGTACTGTGTACAGATCGTGGGGAAAAGTTGTGCAGTAGAGCTGTGCAGTACTGGCATACAAGAGTATAAAATAAAAGTTGTGCAACTTCGTAGAAGTCTTTCGTGCTGACGTTAAAAATATTTTTTCTTGGGTGTGACCTCCTCCGGGGTTGAAATGGCTGCGATAACTTGGCCTGCTGACGTCACGGGAGCCATGGCTACAGTTCAGCTGTCTGCTCTTGTGTTCCCTTTCTTTCTCTCTCTGTCTGTCGCTTCTCTCATGAATAGTCCGTCCAGTGGAGAACATGCTGTGCCAAGTTCTGCCACACACTGTGTCGGAGTGTCCTCAGCCGAGTAGGGGAAAGGGAAATATTACAGAGCGGGTAAACACACCAAAGAATGTATCTTTTTCATGCTTTATACCGTGGTTCTCCCACGGAAGAGTCGGATTATAGAAGAGAATACCGGATGAGGAGAGAGGAGTGATGGCCAACAGGATGCCTTGTTAAAATACTCCCATGCATCCAAAGGAGGTGCCAACCTGTAAGATGGGTTCTCATTTAAACAAACACACACACACAATGAGGCAGCAAATAAGGGGGACAAACAGCCTTTGAATCAGAATCATGCTCACACTAAAATATCTAACCCAACAGTCTCCTTGAATTCAATCAAGTCACACCAATTTGCAGTAACAACACATAAAAATCACTCCCTTAAATGTGTCTGATGTTTTTCAGCAAGATTTATGAGGTAATGGTTAAGGGGTGAAAATATCAAAAAAAAACAATGTTAAAGAAAGTCGAAAACAAAATCTTGGATCTGATCCTGATCCACACCAAAATTGAATGTGTTCTCCCCTGACCCATACCACATCCTTCCACCACATTTTGTGGTGACAGTCAGGTATTTTTAAGCAAACAAAACAACCAACAAAGTAACCGACAGGGGCCAAAACATAACCTTGGTTGAGGTTAAAAAGGAAGTGGACTGATTACCTAAATTATTACATTTTCATGAAACACAGTTAAGAAAAGTGGAAAAAAAAAAATCCTGAATTTGTCACTTAATCTGCATCCGCACCAAGACTTAGACTTCTTCTCAGGCCCCACCCCTCCTCCAAGGTTGGTTGAGATGGGTTCAGCAGTTTTTGCGTAATCCTACAAAATAGCAAAATAAATCACTGATTGGAAAGTGTGTGGGAGCTTTTTCCCCATAATCCTACAAACAAATGAATGGAAATGAGTGAAAACATAACCTCCTTTATGGATATGACAATGGAAGCAGATGGGAGCAAATAAAATTCCTAAATTAAAAATCATCAATTGATATTACCTATTTAATATCTGATTTGGAGGCAGAAGCAACCATGGGCAAGATAAAAGAAACAGAGCTAGAGAGACAGAGAGGAACCAACCCCCCCCCCCACTTTTATTTATACCCCTAAAGACAGCAGGCTAAGATTTCTGGCACCAAAACACACGTCACGCTTTCTATTTCCGTCTGATGTGCAACATAGCACTTAGAGGTTGGGTGACAGGGCTGAGGCATCATGGGGCCGAGGGACTTCCGTACACCGCCCAGCCTTTACATGACATTTCACACCTTAGCTACCTCTGCCAGGAGACAGTGTCTGTGTATATGTGTGGCACACATATGGCACATGTGTGCTTGTATAAATTTAATTGTATTTCCTTACATGTGTATATGTGTGCAATTGAGACAGAAAAGGAGGTGTCAGGGAAACCAGAGGTTGTCGGTGCAGTCTTATATGAGGCGAGAAACACAAAGCATGAAAAGTTTTCCTTCATGATGCAAATCAGGTTGTGACACACTGGATATCCTGCTAACGACGGGTACATAACTTCTCCTGTACAAACATGGTGCAGTGTACTTAACAGCATATTAAGTGGGACAAATGTTTAATTATAAATAGTCTTAAATCTACATAATTCAACTGCTTTATAATCTAAACGCCTCAAAAATCACTGTATCACAATCTGTAGAGTCACATTTTACCATGCAGTTCCTCACATTGTGTTTGAACCAGATGATGTGTTGAAGTTTGCAAACACTTAACTCCTTTGCAATGGCAACACAACTTGAGCTGCCACTGAACTGGTATGCAGGGAGTTGCTGGTATCAAATATCCATAGGGATGACCTGCAGTAAATCATCAACACCCAGGAACACGTGCCATCATTAATAGAGCAGGACAATGCAACGTTGCAATGGAGAGAGACAGAGTCTTTAATTCAAAGCACTTTCATATTTATTACCAAGAAAACAAAAAAAACATTAAAGGCATATCAGTCATTTTTCACAGCTGGTATTTGAACATCTTAAATATATTACTTTGACAATATGATACAGTAAAACACACTGTTTTTGACAGTTAGCAGGTTTGCTGCTTGGAGCACAGTTGCCAATTAATCCACTCCCTCTCTTGGCCAGGTTGAATTTGATTCAACACGGCTACAATGAGGATTAAACACATGAGCATGCACCCTCAGTCTAGGGCAGCATGCTGAAATCTCTTTGTACAGAAAACACCTTAAACGCAATACAAAAACAATGAGAAAAGAGGAGAAAGGGGGAGCTGTCGACTAATGTTAGGCACAAAAGAAGCAAAAAGCCACAGCAACACTGGAGAATGTCGTGGATGTGTTTCATCTCTTAAAGCGGCATAGAGGTGAAATGAAGCACTTTTCCCGCCACTCTCTCGTAAGCACTTTACCAGAGCAAGTCCTCGCTATTTACAAAGAGCGTGTTGGGTGGTTACCACATGAGGGGTTTTCCTGGGGAGGGCTCAAGCTTTACTGAAATGTAAAAGTATCACATAATGACAGTCTCAGTCTGAAGAGAGTAGGAGAGAGGAGGTCGGTGCTTCAGGGCTGGGCTTTGGGTTCTGGTCATTGGGCTTGGGGGGCGATACACTGGGCCTGATGGGGCGGTGATTAAAGCGGGCGGGGTGCGGCTAGCCCACCTGGACGGAGGCCGCTGGTTGGCTGGCCGTGCTGGACGAGAGAAGCACCTATTGGGTTTTACTGCAGACGACTCGGCTGGATTTACCTGGACAAAAACGTGTGAGCATTTATTAGCTGCTTTGATAATGTTTAGGAGCAAGGAGAGGTTTGATGAAAATGAAAATAACCTACCTGCTGCTCCTGTCTGCTGTAAGCTGTGTGACTTGTTCTGGGGCTGGAGCTGAACTCATGTTGGATGTCCAGCATGTCCAGCAGCTCAATGAGTCCTTCATCCCTCACTCGGCCGCAACCTGGAAACTCCTGTCCTGCTAACCCACCCCTCTGAATCCTGTGAGCTCCAGAGGAAGCACTGGACACCCTGTAGTCCATTTTGGGCTCCACATGTTGAGGTGCAGGCTTCCTTCCTCCATCTCTTTCTGCCCCACTGTTTGTCCTAGGTCTAATCTTTGGGCTCCCTGCCACCTGTGATCTCCTGTGGGACGGCTGAGGACTGGGCTGAGATCCTTTGGATGCGCCGTAGCCTCCCCTATGATCTTTATGGTTCTGTCTCCCAGAGTCTGACACTAAGCCCCATTCTTGGCTCGGCTCTAAATCTGCTGTCAGCGCATCAGAATCCGCTTGGCATTTGTGGGCAGGCATACGTGCGGGCGCCCTGCCGGCGACTGCAGCAGCTCCCAGAGCTCTGCGATGACACCCGGGGGTGGGGCATTTTGGCTCCAGGGACAGTTCCTGTTGGGTCACCACCCCTGTTTCAGTGAGAGTTTTGCCCTCATTTTCCTGCAGCATGGCTCCAAACTTCCTGAGAACAGAGGGGCTGCTGCACTTTCTGTCTCCCAGGATGCCCGGACCGAAGCACTTCCTGTCCAGAGCGGGAGATTCGACAGTCGTTAGTGGGAGCTGGGAGCGTGATTGTGCAGCAGGAGCATCCCTTTGTCCCAGAGGGGGCTTGGCGCCTGTGTTTTCCTTGTTGGGGGAACTCTCTCTGCGAGGGGAGCCCTTCATATGAGACACTTGATTCTTTCTGTTTTCAGTCGCCTCAAAACTGTCCCGAAACTGTTCATGACCAAACCTATAAGAACATAAAACATCAAAAGAAAAACTTAATCATAAACAAGCTAAATAAGATTAACGGGTCATTTTATACAATGTTTGAGAACTTGATGAAGCCTCTTACCTGTCGTTTTGATATCTTCTGCTGAACTCATTCTCGTATGCAGGGGTGTCCTGACTCACCTTGATCGTGTCACTGAAGTGCTAAGAGAGATGGGAAAAATGTGTTTTAGTCCATGTCAACCACTGTGTACTGTAGGTTTAAATAAGAGTGTTATTCAGGATTTTTGTCGGGTTTCTCTGTCTGTACCTCACCAAAACTGAACAATGACTTTATTATCGCTCGATTTAACTTTCCTGACCTTCCTGCCAGGGCACATGGCCTCTTATGTGAACCAGGAAACATTTTAATATCTTGTCTCACTTCTCAGCTGCTCTGTCAGGAGTTAGGAATGTTCGAGAGTTGGGTGAAAGTATGTGGAACTTCATCCTATCTGGTAACCCGTCTGTGTAAGCAGACTTGAAGGAACCAGCTTACTGTAATCAATATGTTCTTGACTAATATCATGTAGTCATATCCGGTTTCTTCAGATGTGCAAATGCCAAGAGAATTATCAGAAATGCTTTTCCTTCACTCACCACATGGCGCGCTCCATTGGTCTTCCGGCCAATTTGTTTCCCCTGTCCCAAATAATCCTGCAGCAAGTCCCCGATCTCTGAGACACCGTTGCCGTGGCAGTAACCGTAGCCATCCTGATGACTCACGGGGTAGCTGTACCCGTTGGGGTTGTAGTTGCAGCCGTTGCCACGGTGATGTGGCACAGGCAGAGCTCCAGGGTGATTCTGGCCCGGCACAAAAAGACCAGAACTGTGCACCAGGCCACACTCCGTTTCTCTGCCATTCTTCTGGTTGTCAGCTGGGATGTCGTTTGCTCCTCTGCGGGCCTGAACTTCATTGTACAACTGGAAAATGAAAACAGAACAAAACATTAGCAGCCTCTTGCTGATTTTCTGTTAACTGGGTATATTCTTTAAAATCAGTTGTACTTTTTCACATTGTACATTACTAGCAAATAGTTTTAACAACAACAACGACTGTGTATAAAGAGTAAAACGATTGCTCAACCTAACCTATATTTATGATCAGCGCATGTATTCTACTTTGTACAAACATCTGTTTCCCATCACAGTCGTCGATACTTCCTCCAGTATCCACTTTCAGACCTTGTGTGTGTGTGTGTGTGTGTGTGTGTGTGTGTGTGTGTGTGTGTGTGT